ATAAACGCAAATTTTTTCATTTTCGACTGATCATCTTTCACGAATTATTTTAATTAATATAATGCGTAATAAACAATAATATTCTACGAAGGTACTGTATTCGGTAACTTTTTATTACTGGGGTAACTTAAGTACCCATATAATAGTTTCATAAAGGTCATGACTAATTTAAAAATGATTTATCTTATACTTATTTGCAGGATCTGATGTAAAAAAAAAATAGAGACTTATACATTACTATTACTTTATAACTTTTTTTTAAATAATAAAAAAAAAGATTGGTAAAAATTAAAAACAGTCAAAAATTTTTTTTAAAAAATACATGTTTAAGGTAGACTGTCAAATACAAATTTAATTTGAAAATAGCAACAATTTTTTAACGTTTATTACAAATTACAAAATTAATTTGTTTTTGCAAATTCAGCAGTTTCTTTGAATTTGTTGTCTCTCTTTTACATTATCATCGTTGATTGGCAGTAATGATGATGAAACCAATTTTGTTCGTATTAAAGAATAACGCAAGCGAGTTTTTATACATTTGGTTTTTTAAGTGCAGAAAATAACGTACAACTACTGCAATAAAATTCGTGGCATCAACAAGTAAAAATTCATTGTATAGCTGTATCAAAAATATTTTTAAATAGTAAACTTTTTTATTAAACTACATACCTACTTATATTATATATATTTTTATTTTATTTTTTTTTTTTTTTTTGGTGTTGAGTGGCAAAAAGGCCAGTGCCTATGGGCCGTATGCATATAATGAATAATAATAATAATAATAATAATTCAGGGTCTATAAATTATTAGATTAAAAAAAAAAAATCCGTATCTATGGTTTGAAAAATGCCCAAGTAACTATAGCGTATATGTGCAAAAATTACGAAATGGTAAATTATTATTGGTTTCTCTACGCATTTCAGTCGCGCAAAATCGAAATTCTTCGTCGAAATGATTATTCAGTGAAGAGTTTGAAACTATACCTACCGGATCTGATAAACGACGAAAGCGAATATTTTATCGACCGATATATACGAGGTGACGTTTATAAATATTCGATAAAATATATATATATATATATATATATATGTGTGTGTGTGTTACAGTAAACAAATATTTACTTTTTTTGCAAAAGCCGAGACAACAGCTCTCGAGAGTATAGCGAAATCGTGTTTGCTGCGAACAAATACATAAAACCGTATTTGCACAGAGTTATACGAATCGTAACTAATTCTGTTTGCCGAAACCTTATACCTGTATAAATATTTCCGATTATAATAGTTTGGAGCAATGCTGTTAGAGTCGACAGCCAACACTAGGTGAAAACTTCCCTTTCCCTTTCCAAATAAATTTTTTTAGGTGGGACGAAATCTTAAGTCCTCATAACATTGGTTATCTACGGTTAGTATTTAAATGATAATGATTTATTTCAGGAGGAATCAGCTGAGTATTGAAACGGCTAAACGCGTCCCGTATTTTCAATAATGGTCTTTCGTTATTTATTTTTTTTCAATTATTCATACATTTTTACTTAAATTTATGTTATGGAAAAATTGATGAATATCTTTATCGAGAGCTTGTTGGAGAGAAGTTGTGTGGGTGAAAATCTTTCGTGCTTTGGCATATTTTGGGCATTTGGTCACTATGTAGTTGATTAATTAAATATTATTATATTTGATAAAATTGATAAATTTATTTATCGAAAATATTCTTTGACCAAATAAAATATTTTTATACACATTGTAGTATTTTAGCCAAAAAATGAATTTCATTTTGTAACCAATAAGCCGCAAAACCGAAAAACATTGATTAAAACTGTTAAATTAAAAATAAAAACAACAGATAGATGAGCCACTATTGTAGGTGGAAAGTGGAAAAGGTAGCATATTTAAATTTATTTAATTTATATCTGTAAACACTGATAAATCATTACTTATGAAATACGATCCTGAATAAATTTGTTCGGATAAATATGTTTTGAAATGCGGTGATTTTCATAATTTTCGTTAAAATAATGAAACATTTATAAACTGTTGTAAACTTGTATGTTTTTCTTATGTATTTTTTTTCCCAGTATTATTCTACTTAGAAAATCAAAATATAGCTTTCTCAATGCACCAGTTAGATTCAAAATGCAAAAAAGAGGTTTCTTGTCATTTTTGATTGGAGCAAGATTTTTGGTAAAAAAATCGCATACGTCATGAATCAGTATAGTGAAACCAATTAATATCTTGCTCCGCTCAGCATCTATAATAATAACAACCATAATTAAATTGCGTAGACTCTCATCGAATGGAGACATCAACTATGACTATACGATTTGATGAAAAATGTAAAACTCAGAATAGTCTTTTAGCTGCCTTTGCCTTTTTCTCGTGGCTATTTTGACAATAATATCAGCAAGTGTTGATTGGATTATAATTTTACAATAATATAAAAGTCACGAATATTATTTCTAGAAATAAATTAAAATTTAATTCAGTTATTGTATTGAAAATTTAAATCATTATTTGAACCATTTGATCTTACATCAGTGATCCGGATTTTGGTTCATTGAACATTTGTTTAATTGTGAACCTGTGAAAGTCATATATGCGTATTTAACTTTAGTATACTCCATTGTTCAAAATGTGTATAAAAACTTGTGAAATGTTTGTATTGAAGTCTTCATTTCTTGTAATCGCGTGTTCAAACTACAAGGAGTGTCTAATAAAAATTATCGCAGATCGTATTAAATATTTATACTAATACATAATTTGTTTTTTTCAGTTCACACCATATCGACGAGAATAAAAAAGTAAAAGGGTTACCGTTTATGGCAGTTTATTTAGGACCAGCACCAATTTCAACGTGTAGAAACGTATAAAACCGGACGCCACAGCCCGTTTCAATGTTATTAATCTGGCAGAATCGCGTAACGTTATAATGTTACGAAATATTGAAATCGATTTAAATGTAAATTGAACATTCACGCGCGTATCGTAGATATATTATATGATAGTCCAGCTGCTGTCGGTGCTATTAATCAACAATTAACATAATATTTTAATATATTATCGCAAAGGTGCCTCCTACCGCTATAGCGTACAGGCAATCAATAAAAGTCGAAAACGTTGAGCTTTAACGAATATAACGATAATTAATAGCGAAAATCTATAAAAATAAAAACAAATATTACTCGTTTAACGCAAAATCAATTATTAATAATAATACGTTTCCCGCATAAAAAGCATATACTAGAATACTTCATATTGTGTCTCTTTGGGGCCGCAAAGTCTCTCCCGATTCCCTGACACCGTCGTCGATGATTTCCCCTTTCAAAAAAATGACACGTACAATATGTTTCCGACATTTGTGTCAAAAATAAAAATACAGCAACTGCAGCCGAATTCTGACGAAAAATAAAATATTTTCTATATAAGTATAATACTATTATCCATCGTTGGTAATATACAGGTTTAAAATACCCATATAAAAATAATACATATAAAATGACTAAAAAGTATAAAACTATATAACGACTAAAACATAATAAATTATATATATTATATTCTGAGTGGAGCTCAGAAGCTTAAGGTAATTTTTTAATTTTCTCCAGGAGTTTCCTTAACTAATGGAGAAAACCTGGAAAAAAAGGTACAATATTAAAGAAAATATTTAATGCCTATATAATTATTTTGCCATATTTGGCATATATATTGTTGACGAAACAACACTATCAACTGAACTCCGCTCAGAATCGTTTTTTCGTTAGCAATGGTTTATCGTTGCTTACAGATATACATTCAATTTCCACTCTACCTTCCTAACTTCTCACCTACAACAGTGGCTGCACCCACGTGTAAAGTTGCCCGGCTTTTTATTTTTCACTCTAAAGGGCGAGTCCACACGGGGCATAATTTGCGGGGCACGAGTCTTACGTCACAAAATTCGTTTCACGTGGCTTTTTTCGATGCCGCGTGGCATAATTTCGGATCGACCCGGGCAATGCGTGTTTATATTTCGGGTATAATATTGTTCGTATGATGTTTTGTTTATTCGAGTTTATTATCGCGAACCCGTATTGTCTTCGAATATTGCTACTTTTAATATTACAGGCCAAACAATAATATTTTCTAATTATTTTCTAATTATAATTAACTTTTATTTTCAACAATAAACAGTAATAACCGAATATTTATTATAGTTCAAGTATTCTGTATAACCGTGTGTTGACCGGACCATAAACCAGTTGAAACAAAACGCGCGTACGATGGTGAAAACCACCAACGTGGTATTCCAACAAAAGATTATAGACGTGTTATTGGGCGTCTTATTTCACGTACAATATGGATTTACTGGTAAACGTTGACCGTGGTATACGATCGATTGCACCGATCGAATCGAATGCGTGAAAAAAGACAGCGCGATATCGCCTAGGGAACGCGCTCAGACAGCGAAAAAATGCAAAACCGACTACTGTCGTGTTTACCGTAGTGATAAACCATACGTGCCGGGTAAAACAATACCGATTTCGTAGTCGTTATTTTATGTTTGCGCTTTTCGCGAGCTGTTCGTTGTACCGCGGAGTGGAGACATCAACGCCCAGCAAACAGTATAATATTATAACGGACTTGTATCCGCGTAATAGCTATAATAGCGTAATAATTACTATAGTATTATCTACTTTTTGTTTACTTTTTACCTATTAACTTTTTTTCTGTTTATATTATACACCGATCCGAAATACCAATCAACGTTTTTGCGTAATATCACGCCATTTATTACTTCGCTCTAACAATTTTTTGTTCGCGCGATAAAACGTTTTATTATACCGACACGTTTCTCGGGTCTGTTATTAATGAGGGGATAGTTGGGAGAGCTGTCCATTTAGTGATGAGACGTATTTGTTGAAAAACGTAATTTTCTTTCGGGTACTGTACAACCATGAGTTACGGTTTGCCAGTACTGCCGCGCCACGGGTACGATTTGTTGTCGCGTTTCCCATCCGAAATCTCGAAATGTCGGAAGACGCCGGCACTGGACAGTTCCGAAGCGCTTCCGGTAAACGAGAACGTCGTCAATACGTCGTCGACAGCGCACAATTTCCCGTTCAATTCTCTTCAGTGTCCGTCGGTTGCTGGCGAACTCGCGATCCGTCTAACTGTTCCCGCAGGATAATGCCGGAGATAGCAACAGGACGTGTACAGCTATGCAGTTGGTGGACTTGCACGGACGAAAACTTGCCAAAGTCAGTAGTGTATAATCAACGGCCGGGACGTTGCGACTGCGGCCGATTGCGATTCCGGATCGACATTCCGTTAAATTCCGTTCGGGACCGTTTCCCGGCCGTTGTTTAGCTTGTTATCTATTTGATTAGTGCTTACGCCACCTACGGCATGTTCTTCGTATCAGACTGTTATCAGTAATAATTTGATCGTTCGGATTCAAAAAATTTGATTGCACCATTTATTTTTTTTTTTAGATATGTACAATTAATATAATAGTGATGATACTGTACATTTTAAATTTTAATAAGTATAAACTTATAAATTAATATAACAAATTAACAAATCACAATACTAACTTGATGAGTTTTCTTAAATTTAGAATAAAACAAAACCAATTTCTTATTTTTTATTATAAATATTAATGTAGTTATTAATAAAGAATTAAGATAAATTTATTAATTAATTAATATAACAAATTATCATATGTAATTTAGATAATTAATATAACAAATTATCATATGTAATTTAGATAATTAAATAAAAAAATAAATACTTCGTACGTGGGTGCAGCCACTGTTGTAGGGGAGAAAGTTGGGAAGGTAGGCTACAGACGGGAATTTAATGTAAATCAATGATAAACCACTGCTAGAGAAAAAAACGATTCTGAGCGGAATTCAGTTGATAATGTTGCTTTGTCAGCAATACAATATATGATATATGTCATATTGGTTAAATGATTAAAAAATGTGCGTTTCCACGACAACAATGATTGTTTAAAAAATAATAAAATAATAAAAACTTCTTAATAACAAAAAATAAATAAAAACGGTTGCCAATAACAACCTTATTATTAATCTTTCAATCTTTTTTAACCTAAAGACCGAGATGTTCCTCACTATCTCAAATATTAATGAGAATTTCAAAAATATGACCTCTTTAAAGAACCACCCAGAGAACACTTCCTTTCAAAAAAAAAATGCTTAATAGAAGTATGCTTTCTGGTAGAAAAAGCATTCACATAAAAAACAAAAAATAAACATCATTATAAAACCAATACTTGTAATACTTGTTCCACTCAGAATCTAAAAAAAAAATTATATTTAATATATAATTATCACTTATCAATATCAATTGACAATTATACCTGATAATTGCGGTTCAGTGCAGTCATCTAAAAAAACTTTTATACAGTATAATACCTATACGTGTTTTATACTTTACTGTATTACACGGTTCAACCCTGTATTATACTAACGATGCGTGAAAATATTATCGATTCTGAATATAAATTTTATGTAAACGTGCAATACTGGCATGATAAAAAAATGACATACGCGTTAAAAAGTCTCACATTCGTTTCGATTTTATTTTCTCGTAGTGTAAACAGAAAGTTTACAATATACCGATTTTTAATATTTGTGTGATTGTATTACTAAATATTAAAAAATTTACGAAAGTTACTGGCGTTTGGTGAGCCTTGTAATAATGTAAGTCCTGCTGGAAAAATGATTTTCATGATGTTCAATGTCTGTCAATTATTAGCTAATATTTATCTATTTGTAGAATTTTTAGATTCAAATAGTGTAGCAATGCAATTAGTTTGTTAAGATAAGTTTGTTCTCTCTGAAAACACTTTTGGTTGGTAAAAATGCTCCGATTTTTCACGCGATATTACCTTAAAAGACGCAAATTCTTGGCCATGTGATACTTTATTTAAAGTATTTTTTGATGTATCCAATTCTTTTTCAATCGAAATAATGTTTTTTTTTTTTTTTTTTAAATACTTTTCAGGTTTCGATTTGTTCACCCGGTATCTTAAAAAATAGGAAATTTCTTTTGGGCAATAAATGATGATACTTTATTTGAAAATTGTATCTAGATTCTCGATAATTTTTCTAAATAATTAACATAAAAACTAACAACAACTAATGACGACTAACGTGGTTTTATTTTTACTGATTTCCGGGTTCAATAAGTACTGCTCAGGTACAAGAGAAAAAAAACTGTACTAATACCTTAGTTACACCAATTAAGCGAGGTCCGCTCAAATTCTCAGAATCGTTTTTTTGATCCTGAGCAGGAAGAGTAGGCACTTTTAAATACAGTTAATGACGATTTTTTTCTGTATCTTTATTACAGATGTGCCTTATTGATTGGCAAAGATTTTAGATTCTGAGTGGAGCCAAGAATGCATTGGTTTTACAATGATGTTTATTTTAATTTATTTTTCTATGTGAACACTTTTTTTATCAAAAATCTTACTCCGATTATCAAGTATAGAATCTTTTCTGAAAGGAAATGTTCTCTGAATGGTACTTTAGAAAAGTCATTTTTTTAAATTCTCATTAATATTTTAGATAATGACGAAAAGCTGATTTTTTAGGTTAAAAAATATTGATAGATTAAAAATAAGGTTGTTATTGGCAACCGTTTTCATTTATTTTTTGTTATTATTAAGTTTTGATTATTTTAATATTTTTTAAACAATCATTGTTATCGTGGAAACGCACATTTTTATAATAATTTTATCATAATATGGCAGATATGTATATTGCAACACTATCAACTGAACTCCGCTCAGAATCGTTTTTTTCATTAGCAATGGCTTATCGTTACTTCCAGATATACATTAAATTCCCGTCTGTATCCCACCTTACTAACTTCCCACTTAAAAAAGTGGCTGCACTCACGTACGAAGTATGTTCATCCTTATTTTTTCTTTACGTTTTCATTAGCATTTATATTTCGTTTTCAAAAACGTATTATACACTAGGAACGTTTTTAATTAATAGTCGTAATACGATTCTATATAATAATAATAATAATAATACGACCCCGCTACAGGCGCCCGCGATCGAACAGACTCTCTCGTTTTAGGGTTTGATGATATCCTGTCCTTATAACCGCTCCTTCCCCCTCCGTAACGACCCGTTTCTAAAATTTTAAATATTTGCTGTATTTTAATTGAGTACGTATTAATAATAATATAGGTACACCATCATTAACCGTTTTACAAACACTTTACTCGCAGAATATTATTCTTGAGCGATACTATTTATATAATAATTATGCAAAGCGATTTTTTTTTCATAAACCAGCAATCTTTAAGTAAATTTGATTTCTGTGTTTTTTTTTTTATTTTTATTATTCATTATGAAACCAGTTAAACTTTATTTTAAAACCATTTTTTATTTTTACCCCTACTCCAAACACCTTAAATAAGAATATAGTTTTGTTTTTTAAACAGGAACCCCTCCCTTTTGAACACAGATTTGGATATATAATAAGTCTGACTTCAATAAATGAGTGTGAGGCCTGAACAACAATGAACAAAATGTAAAGAAACTTGAGAAGCTTTCAAAAATAAAGTTTCAAGTGAGACTTTACATATACTCGATTGAGACACAAGAAGTTGAGTGAAGGAGGAATATAACAGGAACCAATCAATGGATATGGCACTCAGTACCGTAACTACCCTTCATGGCATTCATGACAAATTTTACATACCTACTGCGTCTCAATGGCAAAAATAGGGGATGGACATTACCCCTCCCCTAAATCAAGTTTTACAAAAATAAAATAAATAGCCCAAAAATGGCTTAAATTATTTGAACATTTTACCACGTCTAGAAAAGGTAAATATAAATTTTCTGTCCAACAAAATTGAAAAATAATAAAAGCATTATTTTCGTAAATTTTCCGGTTTTTTTACCTTTCATCCTGGTTTTTCCTAGATATTATGAAAACTGCTTGAAAAATCAAAAAAATTACTTACCAAAAGTACTATCTGGACAATATTACCTTTCAGAAATGATGCCGCACGTAAATATCGAAGCAAGATTCCTGGTAGATTTTTGAACACAGTATAAAAAAAATTAAAGATCTTAGTAAAACCAATACATTCTTCACTACACTCAGAATCTAAAAAGATTGCAATATAATCTAATGATTTATTGCCTGCTACGTTAGATGAATTAATAAATTTAAAAAAATGCATACATCAGTTTTCAAATTAAATACCTTCTCTAAAATTATTGAACTAAATTTATACAAAGAAATTAGAAACAATTGTTGTAAACACTTCTGTTGAGAATATTTTATACACTACCAACGACCGTCGCTGAAGCAGAAAGGGTATTAAGTAAACTAGAAAATCAATTTAAGACTTGGCAGAGAACTTCAATCGGCCAAGAACGACTTAAATCCTTTGCGCTTTTATCAATAGCAAACAAGCTTGCATCAAAAATCAACTTCAATGATAATATACTTGATTTTTTGGAAAAATATATACAGAGGGCCTGATTATATCTTCTAAAGATAGAACCTATTTGTCAAATATATTATTTTTTTAGATAAAATTATATTTTCAGAAATTAATAATTGAATTTAATTGTTATAATTATGAATTAATAATTTCAAGAGAATGTTCAATTTATCCTTGTCTATCTGATTAAATACCTATTTTTTTTTTTTTTTTTTTTTTTTTTATTTAGTTGGCACATTTAAATGTTTTTGGCAAATATTGCCACCTTTCGGATTTTCCTATTGTACACTTTAATAACCATTTATACCTGCATTGCAATATTAATCAAAGTCATTTGTGGTTCGAATGCCTATTGCCTTTCATACGCAGAATATGAATTTGTCAATATAATTTATTTGATATTATAGCTATAAATAATTAGGTTATAGGTGAATAAAAAAAATGTTGGTTGTTATATACTAGCTATAACACGTTAGATATGTAGATATATATACGTGATATTGTGTGGTGAAATGGTGATTAAAAAACTGTAGTTCTTAAATATAATATTGTATACATAATTATATTTTATATGATTTGCCTATGCTTTGTTTCACAGTAATTTCAAAATAAACAAACAAAAAAACAACTACAATTAATATTGAAATGATCATTATATTGACTGTTTATCCTCTGTTAATGTTGAAAAATAAGTACCTTATATCTAGAAGAAAGTATGGTTATTATATTATATTGATTAGAAATTAAAACATCTTAAATTATCCCCTTATTATTCTGGTGAACGCAACATAATGGACATGACAGTAACCACTTTCTCAACAACGGTATATCGTAAAAAGGTAACTTCGATGGAGCTTCTTCACAGATAAGATTATAAATTTATAATCGTGTTCACAGACATCCAATCATAGACGTTTCACTAGTATTAGGTCAGTTCATCCAATCTAGGAGCGTTTAAATCACGACTATATATTATACCATATTATGGTGTCTATGGATACAACACTGTAACTCGACCCCAGAGGAAATGGTACTATAGTCGCTCGCATCAGAAACGAACAAATTTCTTTGGACGAGAGAGGTAATTTTATTTATTATCTCCCGCCCGCCCGCCCGTTTATCATACAAATCGGACATTCCAATAATAAACTCTGTGTTCGCTCGCAAAACCGCATTCTACTAGGAACACACCGTGATTAGTTGATAGGTATAGTATTCTTGTCCATGAGATGGCCATAGAAATCGTAGAATTAAGTTTTTAATTTTGCAATTTTATTGAATTGGTCATTTGTTGAAACCATATGGGAACTTACGACAGAATTCGTTAATATTGCGTTAAAACAAAAAGATAACCTATATTTATAATTGGTACATTTTCTTTTATAATGTGATTAGTCGTTTATTCTCCAAGATTATTCGCATTGTGTTTTATTGATGACAAAATTAAACTGACGTATTGTATTATAATAGCTATGGAAGTTAAACAAAAGATCAACAATTCAAAGTGAGTATTCATTATTTTAATGTAGGTAAATTAGGTATTTATACAATTTTAATAATTTGGCACCTATGACCTAAGTAGGTACCTATTATCATCCAAGTTGTACATTGCATATAAATTCATACATACATACTAACCTAACCTAACGCCGCTCAAAATCGTTTTTCGTTGGCAATAATTAATTGTTGTCCACATATAATATATGTATATTATATATTAAACTTCTCCTTAACCTTCCCAACTTTTCACCTACAACAGTGGTCCACCCACTTGTGAAGTATGTAAGTCTTTTTAATTCTGATTTCTAATAATGGAAAAATTTGTAAATAAAAGCTTAAAATTATATTTTTAAACAACTAGTTAAAGACAAAAAAAAATTTAAATTTTGTTAATTTTACTGAACAGTCAGTAACACTATTTCCTTAAGGAGTATAATGAGGACAAAACGATATTGGCACCAGTCACCTTAATATCGGTTTATCTTTTTATTTTGTCTGGATTAAAACAATAAGTTTCTGTACACTTCAATTCTTGTTCCTTTCTATTAGGTGGGAATATTATGTAGTGCCCTTTTTACAAATTGTTGGACAGTATGACCCTTGTACCCTTAAACAAAAATTAGATCATAAATAAGGCAATTAATATACATTATTGTTTTTAACTTATCAGATGTACAATTAAATCTGAAAAAGAAATACAACAACCAAGTACACAAGCAATTGAAATAAAAAAAGAAATTGATTTATTTAATGATTGCGATTTTGGAAGTGTATTAATTGACAATGAAAACCAACCACTACAGTAAGTTTTTTTTTTTTGATTTTTTTAATTAAATTAAATTAAACTAAATTAATCTGTAAATGATATCATTCCATATTACACATGTCCTTAAAGTTAGCAATACACAATTATTAATAATTATATCCATAATAAAGTGATAATAATTGCAAATAAGTTGGTCTAATTGTAAACTGTTGGCATTTTATTTCTTTAAACAAAACAAATACATACACAGCGAAACAAAGCTAACCTAAGCTAACTATGTATAAGCATTATAAGTAGTCAACTTGGGATTAACAATGACCTAACCTTACTTAAATTAGACAGAAATTTATATTTTGCTTTTCTAGATGTGATAGAATTTTCATATCATTTGAGGTATTTTTGATCTATTTTTAGACATTTTAATTTTTGGGAGTTTTTTACAAATGTTTTATTCGGTAGTTAGTGTGTGGATAAAATTATTAGAACAAATAAAAATGATTACAAATTTAACAGGAGGTTCATTATCTTTGCTTACATTGAATTACCTATAATTGTGGCCTCAGCCGACCAGATTATCCTAGAACAACATTTTTAATACTGTTTTAAATTACATGGACTATAGTATAATCTATTTTCATTTTATGATTAAAGTTTTTTTTGTTTATAATGTTTTTTAAAACAATTTCCATCTCTATAGATTTTTTGGTATTCATGCTATATTTATAATTAATACGCAAACATTTATTTTTTATGTATAAATTTATGATTTTCAAAAAAGTCAATTAAGTAATACCATCCACCACAGGAAATAATTAGTTTAATATTTTTGATATTTTATTTAATTTTAAGTTCAAGGTAATTAACATACACTATGATTTTTAACTTTTTAGATGTACAATTAAATCTGAAAAAGAAATACAACAACCAAGAACACAAGCAATAGAAATAAAAAAAGAAATTGATTTATTAAACGATTGTGAGTTTGAAAGTGTATTAATTAACAATGAAAACCAACCACTACTGTAAGTTTTTTTTTTCATATAGTTTTAACCAAACTAAATTAAACTAATTTAATCAGTCAATAAATAATGTCAATTGACAATAATTGTTAATAAGTTATACTTATTAAAAACTGTTGACATTTTATTTCTCTAAACAAAAAAAAAATATATAAATTGTACTACCTTTAGAAAAAGTTAGCAAATAAATATTATACAAATTTATTAATTATAATTTTTTTTTTTTATTTTTTTTTTTTATTAGAAATAAACAATCTATACCCTAGAGGCACAATAGGTTTATGTGGTTAGAGTAAATATAGTTTAATTAAATTAATTAACAACTAAAATAATTAAAAATAACTGGATATACTTGATGTGAGAAGTCATCCACTAATGATACTCACTAAAAAACTTATAAACTTTTTTCTTTTTTTTTATATATATATAGAAAATTATTTGGACAGGACTGAAACTCAGTCTACGGATTAGCTGATGGGAGGGGGATGGGCAAGTAGGTCACGACACCATTTCCGTTTTAGACGTCTAGGTGGGTTTCCAGGAATAGAGAGGCCTACGAGATTACATATTAACAGGTTGCTGTTGGAGGTAAGACGATTGTGGAAGCGTTGGTAATGCTATGGCTTCTTCGCGCACTGATTTGATTTTTAAATCGGAGTGGATAGTATGGTTTGAGACGTAAGGAGGAGCATTTATAAGTTTCCTGAGTGCAATATTTTGAAAGGTTTGTATTTTATTTATGTTCGATTTTTTTGCATTACCCCATAACTAAATTCCATATGTCCAGACTGGTTTGATCAAAGATTTATAAATGAGCAGTTTTGTGTTGATATTAGTGTATTTGTTATGGTTAATAAGTGTTTTGAGAAGGCGTAAACGAGAGCTTAGATTTAATATGCTGGGCCTAGGTTAATCTTTGATCCAGTGTTAGCCCAAGATATTTAACTGTTTGTGAATTTGGAATAGAGATACCATGAATGGAGACAGCTGGGCAGGGTGCAAGTCTAAGGGTAAATGTACAATGCACAGATTTTGATTGATTTATTTTCAACCACCAATTGGTGTACCATTCTTCCATGAAGGAGAGATGAGTTTGGAGATGGTGGGAGGCAACAACCGAGTCATGATTCACTGAGATTATTGCTTTATCTTCCACGTAGTCAGCGACTATTGTGTTCGGGGAGGTGAGTTGGTCATATGCGTAGATGTTAAAGAGCACAGGCAAAAGAATTCCACCTTGAGGAACACCCGCCGAGATTTTGGCTATACTGGAGAGAGTTTCACCAAAACGAGTACTGAAATATCTGTCTGTTAAATAGGATTTAATGACCAGGAAGTATACAGGATGTAAAATTTTTTTCAATTTGAAAAGTAGTCCGTCGTGCCAGACCCTATCAAATGCCTGAGTGATATCAAGAAAAACGCATGTGCAATTTAATTTTTCGCATCTACAACTCTATGAACTTGATGGATTGTTGAGTGGGTAGATCGAAAACCAAACTAGGAGTCGGGAAGAATGGAATTAACAGTTAAGCAAGGTAAAATGCATTTGAGTAAAAGTCTTTCGAGGATTTTAGCAAAAAAAGGTAGTAGGCTTATGGGTCGGAGGAGATGGAGTCAGGGGGTTTATTGGGCTTTGGAACAAGAATAATAATAGAGAATTTCCAAAGGGAAGGAAAATATGATAGCCTAAGCACGGAGTTATATAAATGTGTGAGGTGGATGATCGCTTGTTTTGGTAGGCACCTGGCAACTTCAGCAGTAATATGGTCAAATCCGGGAGATTTTTTGAAAGAGTATTTGTAAATGGCATATTTAACTTCATTCAGAGTAAAGTGTTTGACAGGACGAGCTAGTGGTAGTGGGGAGTTTAGATACTCTTCCACAGGGTTGATGTTATTAGGAGAGAATATATCTGAGTGAGGTTTGAATATATCAGATAGATAGAGTTTGAACATTTCGGCTTTATCTGAGTCAGATATAACAAGACTACCATCATTTTTTTTATTGACACATTAGGGGCTTTGGTTTTGCACGCATTTTTTGTTGTTTTCCAAAGACTACCATCATTTGGTGAGAGATTAGTTAGGAAACTTTCAAAAGATTTTGATTTGAGCTTAGCTAACAATTTTTTTAAATGATTGGCCAGTTTGTTGTATTTTTGCTTGTGTGAAGGGAGGCAGGTTCGTTGGTAAAGAGCCCTTGTCCTACATTTTTCAACAATGATTTCACGAATGTGGACTGGCAAAGTAGGAGTTTTAGAAGGGTTAAAAGTTGTGACTGTGGATGACCAAGCCGCAGATTGAATTAGGTTGGTAAGATTATTAACAGCTAGATCCAGATTATCATTGGATTTTAATTTAATGTTTAATTTGATTTGTTGGTCAACAAGGTCATGAAATTTACTTTTATTAGTAGTATAATTAAATAATTTCGGGGATTCCTGACGTAGTGGAGGAGAGACATTAAGAGTTAGCAATATTGAAGAATGGTCAGAATTTAAATTGAGAATATTCTCCATAATACAATGAATATTGTTTGGTATTTTCGTAATAAAAATATCTAGAATATCTGGTTTTTTGCGAGTTGAGGTAGGCCAATAAGTTGGACCAGGAAGAGCAAGAACTTTTAGATTACCTCTAGTTACAAAATTGTGAAGAACTTGACCGCGCGGATTGTTAGCTCGGCAACCCCAGGAGTGGTGTTTTGCATTGAAGGCACCGCCTATAATGCAATTGTTGTGAATAGAGTTAAAGTAATAAGAATAATTTTGAATTGTGATCTTGTGTTTTGGAGGGGAGTATATGGCCGCAATAGTAATAGGAATATTATTTAATTTGATGATTAGGGCACATAATTGTAGATAATCCAATCAAAAATGTGGAAGATGTTAAAATTGGATTGAATTTTTTATGAGAATAGCAACACCACCGTGAGCTGTATTGTCAGGACGGTTTGTTTTTAAAAGTTTATACCCAGATATATAATTGTTGGAGTATTTGGTGAAATGGGTTACGGTTATTAGTGCTAAGTCAATGTGTAAATTATATAGCACTGTTTGGAGTTCATTGATAAGAATNTCGTTTATCCGTGGATATCCTGCCATCCTATTCCACGGATAATCAGGAGTACACTGTATCTAGAATATCTGTTTTTTTGCGAGCTGAGGTCGGCCAATAAGTTGGACCAGAAGGAGCAAGAACTTTTAGATTACCTCTAGTTACAAATTGTGAAGAACTTCACCACGCGGGTTGTTAGCTCCATAACCCCAGGAGTGGTGTTTTGCATTGAAGTCACCGCCTACAATGCAATTGTTATGAATAGAGTTAAAGCAATTAGAATAATGAGAATAGGAACACCACCGTGAGCTGTATTGTCAAGATGGTTTGTTTTTAAAAGTTTATACCCAGGTATATAAATGTTGGAGTATTTGGTGAAATGGGTTTCGGTTATTAGTGCTAAGTCAATGCGTAAATTATATAGCACTGTTTGGAGTTCATTGATGTGATATTTTTATTCCGTTTGCATTAAATTGTAGAATTAAGAGTGATTTATTTGTACCTGTGTTGTTTGACATTTTATTTAGCAAGAAGTTTTTCAATTACTTTGGTAAGTAGTGACATTAGAGGATTTATTAACGATTTGAAATCCTCAAGGAAATTTGTGATGGTAGTATTTAAATCAGGAGTAATTGGAGGAGTCAAGTCATTAGCTGTTCTACCAGAAATGACTTGGACATAGGAACGAGGATCGGGCTGAATTGGGTGGGTGTCATTTATTGGATGACTATCACTAACAGTTGTGGTATTTACTCTATTGTTAGTTGGTACAAAGTTACTTTTGATAAATGGTTTTTTGGCACACTGGAGATGCTTGTAAATGGAACAACCTTTGTAACTTGCAGGATGATCGCCTGCACAGAGTGCACACTTTGGTGGAATCGAGCGTTAATTTGGACAGTCCGAGGATTTGTGATTTGAGCCACAACGAACACGGCGTGTGGGGTATCCACAGTAGATTTTAGTGTGACCGTATTCCTGGCAGTTATTGCATTGGCTGATTGTTTTGGATTTGTAGGGCTCTTCAACTTTAATTTTTGTGTGTAGCAGTGAGGACAGATTAAATATTTCAGTTGACCTGATTGTTGGCTCTAAGTCTACGAAGAAGAGCGGAAGTGGAATTTTAGTTTTTTTGTGGAGAACATTTGTAACACGTCTTATTTCAAACAGACAAACTTCAAGTTCTTCTTTAATAGTGTCTACCTTTATGGTTGGATGAAGATTCCGTATAACGACACAGAGTGGTTTGTCTTGTTTAAGCTGATATGAATGAAATTCAGCTCCTTGATCTTTTAGAAAATTAATAAGTGCTCTGTAAGATTCAGGATTCGATGTTTGAATCTTTAAACGGTTAGCAAACGCTTTACAGAAGAAATTATCTACCCCAATTAGTTCAATTAAAGCTGTACATAGGTCTAAGTAGTTTTCCACGCCCCTCACGAAAACAAGAGAGGGGGGGGGTTGAAAACTTCGTCTGAGTTATCATTATTTTGTTCCATAGGCTGGTGCGATGACGAGTTTAAGTCAGGCTCAACATCTTGATTTAGGATTTCGAATCGATTTAAAGATTTAAACAGTTTGGTTTTTTTTTTTTTATAATATTTTGCGACTTTATTGACCTGATCGCTTGACAATGAGGTTTGAGATGATGAAGAGTGAATTCTTTTAGCTTTTGTAACAAGAGTAAAATTTTTATCTAGATTATTAATTGTAGTTGTCTCATCATATGTGGACCTAGAAGCATGAGTGTTTAAATTTGGAGGCCGCCTGGGCACTTTTGTTTTGTTTTTACTATTTTGCTGATTAACAATATTATTAATATTTGACATAATTAGCTAGCTAGCTGCGGTGGTAGCGGCGTGTGTTATTTTATAAGGAGAACTAGTATGAGCTATTGTGTAATTACGTAGAAGATGTGAGTACTTATAGTGAACTTATGCAAAGTTTTTAACGAAGATTTGAACGAACTTATACAATGGACGTTGTTACTTTATTATATAAAAATACTGTAAGTAATTTTGAAAAAAAAAAATATATACTTTTAAGTACAACTAAGTTTCAACTCTTTGTCACTGATCACTAATGAGTGTAATTATAAATAATTACGACGGGAACGCACAGATAAAACGTGTGTATCGGATGGCTTCCACCGCGGGAGTGTGTATATCGAATAGCTTCCACCGCGGGAGTATGAATTATAATAATACTTAATAATATTTTATTATATTAATTTGTAAGCATTCAATTTTTTAAACTTCAGGACACCTGCCTATTTTGTGTTGTGTTATAAAAAAAATAGACTGCAGGAAATCAATGAAAATTAACCAACATTAGTCCAACACATGTCCTTAAAGTTAGCAATGCACAATTATTAATAATTATATCCAAAATTAAGTGATAATTATTGCTAATTATTTATACTATATAAAAACTGTTGGCATTTTATTTCTCTAAATAAAAAAAATACATACACAGCAAAACAAAGCTAACCTAACTATATATAGACATTATAAACAGTAAACTTATTAACAAAGACCTAACCTAACTTAACTTACTTAACAAAACTTAAAATTTAAACAGAAATTTATTTTGCTTTTTTGTGGTACAAAAAAAACCGGAAAATGTGATATACATTAATTTTCCTTCTATATTCTACCTTCCCCATTTTCCACCTACAACAGTGGCTGCACTCATCTCCATTATCCTAGAACACCTTTTTAAATTATGAATTGTATAATAATATTAATAGTTTATTAATATATTATATAATATATTTTGTGAAATTTTGTTTAATTTATAACATACATGAGTAACTTAAGAACAACATGTTAGTTTATATCACATAAGTTTGGATTACTAAAACTGTAGCACTTATTATATTAAATGTTCTAAGGTCCTCTCGTATAGATGAAAATACCTCGTACCAAGAGTTACCATCAGCAAAAAGAACAGTGTTATCAGCATAACACACTAGTTAACCATGTATCTTAAAATTGTTTATTTGGTTAATTTGAATATTAAAAAGAATGGGAGAGAGGTTAGTACGTTGAAGTACTCCATATGTTGTTAGTGTTTCTAAACTTAAGTAATTATTTATTCAAACTTCAAAATTTATTAAAATTATTTAATAATATTAAATGGTTTATAGTTTTGAATGCATTATAAATGTAGTTAGATACTGTTGCAATTCCTTGTTCAGTATTTTGTTGGATTTTACCATCCCCTATAAGAAATAATTTATTTAATATTTTTGATATTTTAGCTAGTTTTAAGTTTAAAGTAATTAATAAACACTATAATTTTATCTTTTCAGATGTACAATTAAATCTGAAAAAGAAATACAACAACCAAGTACACAAGCAATTGAAATAAAAAAAAAAATTGATTTATTCAATGATTGTGAGTTTAAAAGTGTATTAACTGACAATAAAAACCAACCTCCACAGTAAGTTTTGAGTAAGACAGGTTATTTAAGTATACATACTTAATTTGTATATTTTAATTATGCATATATTCAAATTATGATTTTTGGAATTTTTAAGTGAATTGAATGAGTAATGATTGATGACTTTGATCATTCATATTTTTGCATACTTGGTTTTTCCACTATGTTTAAGGAGTATTTTTTGGCTATATCAACTTCAGTTTTTTAGAAGAGAACCTACGTGTTTTGATGGAAATTATCAATCGAAATATTTTTTTGAAATTTGACGTATAGTAAACAAAATTCAAACGTAAAGTTTCTGATTTACTCTGCTTTCTATACTAAGGATAATAGCATTTTTAATATCAACTGTTTTGTGTGATAGATTATTTTATCTTCAGAATTATAGAGTAATTAGTTATTAATTATTATACTTATTATAGTATTTATAGCAGAAAAACTCAAAAACTTTTTGTTCAAATTTTGACTAAAATATAATATGTTAACATTTTCAGAAAAATCATTTTATTGACAATTAGCATTAAAATGTGTAAGCATGTTCTCATTTGAAAAAACAAAATTTGATATTGCCACAGGATATTCTTTAATTGTTTTGAAAATATCGCCTTTTACCACACTTAAAAATTCCAAGTATCAGAATTTAAAATTATATATAATTTAATAATGGGATGAACACTGATTATTCTTAAAAAAAAAACTATGTCTATTATTATAAATGTTTAATAAAAATGGCATAATGGAGAAGGGATATGTCACCCTCGTTCTTCTTCACAAGTTCACACCCTAAACGATGTATGGTTGTTTGTACACATTTTCATTGATTTCATGCAATTTGTTTGTTATTAAATATTAAAATGACATTGGCCTCAAATTTTGTTGAGGGTGTATTTTTTTTTATTATAAGGCACAGGATTGGCGGGTGTCTCAGCCGAAATTTTGAAATCGCAAAATAAAGACCACTCTAACATTTCAATATATTATATTTATCATACGATAATAAGTCTACTTGTTTTTATTTTTATCCGAATACTAGGTTAGCCTCACAGTTTTCGTTTACAACATTATAGTTTTGCTCTAATAAGGTGGTTGGGAACTGCTATAATAGACTAAAGTTTAATACAAAACAATTTTAAAATACACCAATACAACTAAATTAACATGAACAAATGTATAAATTATTCATCAAAAAACTTAAATGAACATTTTTCAATAAATCTTTCTGTAGGTTTTGTTATATTGCCAGTGGGAATATCCAAAATTAGGTTATAGTTTTTTTTTTTACATTGTGTTTGTTAAATTTTCAGTTACATGCACAACTCCAAAGAAGAAATGGAACAATCGAATATTCAAACAATTGAAGTGAAAAACGAATTTGATATCATAAATGGCTGTTTATTTACAAGTATAATAACTATTGAAAATGATCCTTTTGAATTAATTTCACATAAAACATCAAAACTAAGAAAAAATAGTTGTACATACAACAACAGTCTTAATACATTCAATTCAAAATCAGGTTTAACATCACATATAATGAAATATTTAAAGAAGAAGACACTTAAATGCATCATGTGTACTAAATCATTTACTAAGAAGAAATATTTAAAATGTCATATGAAAACTCACACTGAAAAACAATGCAATATTTGTGAAAAATCATTTTCTCAATTGACCGCTTTAATACAGCATAAGTTAATTCATACAGGAGAAAAGCCCTTCAAATGTAATGAGTGTAAAAAATCATTTAGGCAGAAGTCTCATTTGATAAGTCATATGAGGGTTCATACAGGTGAAAAACCTTTCAAATGCAATGTGTGCACATTATCATTTTCTCAATTGGCCTCTTTAGTGAAGCATAAACTAATTCATACAGGAGAAAAACCCTACAAATGTAATAAATGTAAAAGATCATTTAGGCATAAGGGTGATTTACAAACACACATAAGAACTCATACAGGTGAAAAACCTTTTAAATGCAATATCTGCCAAGTATTATTTTCTCAATTGACCTCTTTAAATCGGCATAAGCTAATCCATACATGTGTGAAGCCTTTTAAATGCAATATTTGTGAAAAATCTTTTACTCAATCTTATAGTTTAAAACTGCACAAGTTGATTCACACAGGAGAAATGTCCTACAAATGTGATGAGTGTAAAAAATCATTTAGGCAGAAGAGATATTTGACTAAACACATAAAAACTCATTCTGCTGAAAAACCTTTTAAATGCAATATTTGTGAAGTATTATTTTCTCAATTGACCTCTTTAAATCGGCATAAGCTAATCCATACATGTATAAAGCCTTTTAAATGCAATATTTGTGAAAAATCTTTTACTCAATCGTATAGTTTAAAACTGCACAAGTTGATTCACACAGGAGAAATGTCCTACANTTTTACATGTAATGTTTGAAAAATCGTTTACTCAATTGTTTAGTTTCAAGCAACATATGTTAATCCATACAAAATAGAAGCTTTAGAATTAATATAATTTATGTAAACAATTTATTGTTTGTTTTACACATAGGAATTTATCCTAAACATACACCCTGAATTGTTAAGAAAAATATTGTATACAAAGATAAAATTAATATTCTTACTGATATGAATAAAGTTCCACACTTATGATAACATTTTACATGCTATTAATTTAATCATTTTTTTGTTTATCAAAACATTTGGTAATTAATAAATATATTGATTTGAGAGATGACAAATTGTTTGTCGAATTTTCACTGTTAAGAATTTGTATAAGAACCTCTCTAAATTATGTAATTCCAAGTATCTAAAACGTATTCAAGATTCCCTAATAAATAACCCCAAATATTTTTGAGAGTTTATCAAAGATAAGAAACAAAGTAATGAACTTTCTTATATCACGCATTCTAATGATAACACCGTGAACAATCACGATACTATTGTTGATCTATCTAAGTGTCATTTCGGTTCAGTCTACTCTCCTAGTCAAATTGTTTCTGCTTATATTTTACATTACTCATCTTACACTAAAGACATAATTGATTTTTCTTCTGTTTCGGAAATACTTAACTACCTAAATGAATTGTCATCTAATACAAAATTAAGTCCTGATCAAATTCACGAAATAATTTACCGTGATTGTTCTTATACCTTAGCCTGTTTGATTTATTATTTATTTAACCTATCATTATCTACTGGAGTTTTTCCAAACCTCTGGGTAAGTAGTTTTATTTATCCGATCTTTTGTATTTAGTTATCGTCTTATTTATTGTTTGAGATATAACTACACGCATTCCAACCTAGGGTCGCTATACTCGATACCTCGACCATTGGGAGTTACCAGAGTGGAGGACCGTTGAAAGTTGTAATATAAGGCCTATACTAACCATAAACGAATTTAGCACAAAATACCGTCGCCAAAATCTCGCTGCTAAAATCCCACTGACTGAGTACTCGAGTAGCATCCCTGGGTTGAAAATTGGAATGCGTGTAATTAATATTGCAAGATGAGGTTATTATTTTGCGAGTTTGTAGTACTATGTCACATTCGAACGTTTTTTATAAATACTAAATATTCAATGCATTACATAATATTATAATTGTAGCATATCGTATATTGTATTACATTATTATAGTATTCGGTTTTTTTTTTTTTTTTTCTAACGTATAATACAAACTGAGTAGGGGAAATTTCGACTCTAGTGGTTGGTATATATTACGTGTATATTGAGTAGTGTATGCATGCATGAATTATATTTACATTTTACGAGCAAGACTTTTGTGGGCGATAACAATATACACCTCGTGAAGATGTATATTATAATATACGCATAATATTATGTAGGTACGACTATTGTTCTTTTTTAAAAGCTCTTGAAAAAACACTCGTTGGATGCGTACTGCGTACAAAAAAATCACTCGCGGCATTATACTCCCGTATAGTACAGGTACCACGCGCCAAAACAATTATTCGGGTTTATCTCGACAGAATGCGATTTTATTTTTTTTTCGTCCCACTTTACTCTATGGGTGCAAACTTACACGATAATAACAAGTTATTATTATTCCAAATCGAAAATATTCACATATCTTCTACCGTATACTAATGTTATCGACAAAATATCTATATTCACTTTTCATATCGGAATTTAATAGTCTTTTTATACGGCTTAGTAATAAGTTGCGTGGACGCGTAGTCCACAATTCTGCAAGGTGACCGAAAAAACTGCAGGATATTATAATCGTGTTTTTGTATTCGGCCATACTTGAAACGTAGACGTTTTGTTGATGTGTCTGTCCATACATAGATGACGCCCATCTGTTTTAGATTCTGAGTGGAACGAAGAATGTATTGGTTTTACTATGGTGTTTATTTTTATTTTTTTCTATATATATACTGTGTACAAAAATTCTACCTGAAATCTCACTCCATTATATACTTGCTAATGGCGTTCTCTGGAATTTCTATTGGAGGGGGAAGGAATATGCAAATTATTTGAAAATTGAGCCATGGGGGTTATACCCCCCAAACACTAGTGAAATATTCATGAAAGTCGTATGTTTCATATTTCACAAAATGTGTTTATTTTTATTTATACCGCAAGACAGTCTTGCGGCACTATTTCTGAAAGGAAATATTGCCCATATGGTACTTTTAGGAGGTCATGTTTTGATTTACCAAGCGGTTTTCATAATATAAAGAGAAAACCAGGATAAAATGAAAGAAAAACGGGAAATTTACGAAAATAATACTTCTATTATTTTAAATTCTGAGTGGAGCGAAACTTGTGGTTTTACAAAGATGTTTATTTAATTTAATTTTTTTTTTCCTGTGGACTACTTTTCTAAACTATTTAATAATATGTATGTACGCGACGAATTGTGTCTTTATAATCTATACAGACAACAATTGTGTGATAACACACACGAAACGCAGTTATTGTACAAAGTTATTAACTTTGCGCGTTTGTCACGGAAAATAAAACTATTGCAATTATTATTGTTACTATTATTCACACTATTCTACAATAGAACACATTTAGTCTGCCGAAGGTGGACTACCCACCTATCTGTTTTCATTCAATTCAGACACGACCAAAACCAAAAGTGAATATTGGTAAATTGGCACGGCGGGCAACGCCTGGCGCGGGCAGCTAGTTTTATATATGTTATAACTTTATAGTCCCAGGGAAAAAGGGGTTTACAAATGATACAGCAGCGCTAACCTTTAACCGGTATGATAATCGTATCGTTTCGAAACGTGTCAATACATTTGAAGGAAGCGTGTAAACATCTGAAATTTCCTACATAATTAAAACGTACCTATTGCAATTAATGCACATAGATATACGGCGAGAACAAACGAATAGTCGAATGGTTCGATTGTCCGTTTCCGGAGCCACACGATGGCGGCGATGAAATTCCCGTTTTTGCGACGTCAAAAGCTGCTTTTTACGGTACCCGTGCTTTTGAAAATGTGTGTTGTTTTTATGTTATCGGTGTTTTTACATTCGCGTCAACACGTGCAAACGATATAATATAACGTTTACGGATATACTTGCATAAAATATGGTAGGTATATGCATTTTTATTTACGGAGCTTCTCGGAGCGATCGATCGGAAATGAAAATTATTCGCAGCCTTTGCGTTTTTCCCGGTCGTTTTAATATTGAATAATATTACTCGCGGCCGGCGGGCTAATAAAACCGAAATCGTTTTACGACACCAATCATATTATAATATTATATTAAGCATCGTATTATAGATACAAACGTTGTCACGACGACCTCCAGTTAATGTACAGAGTGTCCTACAGTGTTATCCTAGAGATCCCATACGTCCCGTACTTGAGACAAGTGTTTTCTAGATATGATGTGAATAATGCTAGCGCTTCGTGTTTAATATCGTTAGATAATTTATTTATTTATTATGAGATACTGAGTCGAAGGCTTTACTTAGCTTAGATCCATAAATACACCTATTGATTTTCTTTTAGAATCCATTGCGTGAAAAATTGTATAGCGCCGTCGGTGTTGTGCCCTTTTCTAAAGCCAAACTGGGTTAAGGGAAGGATTTGATTTTCTTCTAGATAATTAGCTAATCTTAATTTAATAACTCTTTCAAATATTTTGGAGAAGGTTGTCAAGAGAAGGCTTATTAGTCTATAAATTTCTACCCTGGATTACCTTTGTTGTGAATTAAGGTAATTATTGCTATTTTGAAGCTGATTGAAACTATTCCTGTGTTTATTATAGTATTAATTATATTAACTAATTGCTCAAGCACTTTATCATCTAGTAATTTAATTATCTCTGTAGTAATATAATCATGTGCTTAAAAGGAGGCACTTTTAAGGACGTGATTATATTTTTATTTCTTTTATATTTGTTTTCCTTATGTATAAAGATTGGTAGTGTTTTGTTAGCTCTGTATTATTTTAGCAAAATAATCATTAAAATTTTCCGCTATTGTGGAAGAATGGGTTTCATTCGTGTATATATATATATTATCATTTATTTCTATTCGTAGCGTTTTATTTGTAGTATTATATTGTTCCTGGGTGGCTTATTTAATAGTTTTCCATATCTGTTTCGGGTCGTAAATGTATTTTTAATTTTATTACTATAAAAGACAGATTTTGCTTTATATAAAATGTTATTTAAATGATTTCTATATTTTTTAAATATTTTCTTTTAGGGCTAGAAAATATGTTTTTTTTCCAGACCGTGAATGTAGTATCTCTTTCACTTATCTTATTTAGTATTTCTTTTGTGACCCAGGGTTTTATTTGAAATATTTGATTGAAATCGTATTAATTTTAGCTTTTTCGATTATATCTTTTATTCTATTACTGTATGAATCAAGTGTATTATCAATAGAATTTAAATTAATTATATTTTGCCATTGTTCATTTTTTATTAGTTGTTTGAAAATGTTTTTGTTGAAAGATTACCGTACTTCAAATGTTTTTACCATACTGTTATTTGATTTTTCTCAGAATTTTTTTAGGAATTATTTGTATAAAGGTTGGTAAATGGTCAGAGATTGAAGATTTTAAGGTTAAGCATTGTAGACATAAAAGGTATCTATTATTTTTATGATTTATTATTCACCGCCATCCCACACACGGTTTGATGAATTTATATACGAGATAAATCCATAATATTCCATTATATATTCCAACTTATATAGTCACTCGTCAGATTATCATTATTTAATGAGTTAACGTTTATGTCACCACAGAAAATTATATTATTATTTTTGTTTTTCTGTATTAAATTAGGTAAAAGGTCTTGAAGTTGTTCTAAAAATATATGCCTTTACCATTTGGAGAACTATATATTGATACAATTCAACAATCTGTTTTTCTATTTTAATATTTGTAATTAGACAGTTTGCTTCAGTAAATGGAATTTCCTTAAATGAAAATAAACAATCATATCTTATGAATATTATTACACCGTTTCTTTTTTTTGATTATTTGCCGAATGTATTGTTTGATAGTTCTTTAAAAATGTATTTTTTTTTTTTTTCTATCAAAGTGGTTATTTAGCCAAGCTTCAGAGAGTGAGATAAAATGTGTACGATTCCCTATTTCAATAAACATTGTAAGTCTATTATATGTGTTTATTAATTCTACGGATATTCATGATAATTAAATTAAAACTTTTATCGTATTTGTTTAATTTGCTGTTTAGTTCTTCATCGGGTATTTTATCATTTAAATATTGCTCCGTTAGAAAATTATTAAATAAAATATTATTAAAAGCTATCTAATTTATGATAATTAGAAGTATTATATACGATTGAAATTCTATTAAATGTGAGAATATTAATTATGAAAATAAATTCATTGACGTTTAAATGATAACTGGTAGATTTTATAGAAACATAATAATATAGAGTTTCTGGGTCATACTATAAGGAGGAAGTTAATGTTATGAATTTAAGTTTAACTAAAATAATTTGGTAGTATATTTTAAGTATTAAAATTGAATTAAATACATTACGATAGACTGTTAATCTATTGACTGTGTAATTAGAGTGAGGAGCGGTTATTGTCCAGTATATTAAAACATATGTGATGATAAGAGTGCATGTTGTTTGTTTTCATTAGGTATTATAATAATTAATAATCGGAAAGTTATCTATAAATGTATATTATTAAAATGAAGAAAGATCCAGTTCAAAATGAATTTCGCGTACCTTTGTGTTTTCATATTTTCGTACAAGGATATCTGCATTCTCGTTCATCCATACGTATTTGAAGCCCTTTTCTTTTGCCGTTGCTCTGGTTTTACCATATATAATTGTCCATTTTTGTTTAGTAAGATGATTATAAATTTATAGACGTTTATCTAGAACACTCCGCGTTAATGTTGGAAAGATTTAGAATTTTATTACGTTTACAATTGGCTATGATTGCCTTTTTCATACCAGGCTGTGTAAGTTTCGCTATAATTTTTTTTTTTGCCATTTACCGTAATAGGTGCGCGATAAGCTTTTTCAACATTAATGGCTGTGTTTAATATTTTTGCTATATTAATGACTGTATCTATACATTTCTCATTAGCTACAGTTGGGATGCCCATTATTTCTATAGTAAATTTAAGATTATTTTCTTCCATGTCGTCTAATCGATATTTGAGACCATATAACTCATTTCTTCAAGTATGTTATTGACTGTTTGATTTCATTCGCCAAATTTTTGCCCCATGAACTTTATGGAGTCGACAAGATTTTGTATTGAGAGCTCTGAAGATTTGTTGTTTATATTTTTTGTATTTTCCCAATTATGTTTACAAGCAGCAAACCCATTTATTTTTTTAGATTGTTTTTTGAAAGCTAACTAGGTTACTCCTTCACACATAAAGTGGAAGTTTTTTTTGCACTAGGAGCAAACGATTTCATCTTCTGAAATTATATCTTCTCTGCTCTTAGAACAGCTAGATATTTTTTTTTATTTTTTATTAGTTGAAAATAATTACTTATTAAATTAAATTAATGAAATTTAATGTATGATTATAGATAAACGAACAATTGACCTACCGCGACGAACGCTAATAAGAAACTGAGGTGTGCAGACAAATTACATTTTTAAATTATGTTGACTTATAAGTCTATACTAATATGTCTGTTTATTATTTTTCTTAAACTTTTTGTGTTGAATAGATAACTATTGAATTACGGACTAGTTTTGAGGGCTACGTTCTTACCATCACCTCCTCCCACCATATAATTTGTTGCAATATATATAAATATTAAGTGAGATTTAAAATGTCCTGTATTTATAATACACAAATCTGGAATCCCTATGTTATCCAAATACTAGTAACTTTGTCAATGTAAATTTGTTTTTTTTTCCAATGGATTTTGTGTCAGAGGATAAATATAGAGAAAAATTAAATTTTTATTTTCATCCCTTAATCACTGAAATAAAATAACTTTTTATTTAATTCACGTTTTAAAATTTTCAAAATAGCCATTTTGTAAATTATATCATTCTAAAAATGTAAAAAAACGTATAAAGATGAAATTTTTTTTATCGAAAAATCCATCCTTGCTTTTAATGACTGCTCTCACCAGCCGTGACATTCTTTCAATAAGTTTATCTATTGCTTTCTGTTCCGAGGAAGCCCATGCCACTTTTAATTTCTGCCATAAGTATCTGCAGCGGAAGTTGGACACGATGTTCTTATTTTTCGTTCAAGATTTTCCCACTAAAGTTCGATCGGGTTGAGAATCTGGTGATTGCGGTGGCCATGTCATATTTTCAAGGATACCATCTGCTTCTTTTCGTTCCAAATAACTGCAGCAGAGTATCGAAGTGTGTTTTGGGTTGTTGTCTTGCTGATAACAAAACCACGGCCAATTTTTCTGAACTCAGGGAAGGGAAATGGATGGACGAGCAAGAATTTTTTTTATATTGCTCTTTTTTCATAACACCATCAATTTTTACTAAATGTCCGGTCCCACGACCAGAAAAACAACCCCACACTGTAACTGAGCCACCCCTATGCTTTACAGTAAACACTACACACTGTGGTATCATTTTTTCAGATGTACTTCTTTTCACATAAATTTTATGTCTAGAGCCAAATATTGCATACTTTGATTCGTCACTCTAGAGTACATTTTTCCATTGATCATTCAGTTTTGATGTTTTTTAACCTATTGAAGTTTTTTTTTTTTACATTTTCTTTACATAGCAATGGTTTTTTTTTTTACTGCAATACGTCATTTAAGTCGACAGCGTTTAGTTTTCTTTTCACAATTGTAAGGAATATTGGCTTTCGGAGGATTCTGTTGATGTCGGCGTAAATTTCAGGAACTGTTAACCGTTTGTTCCGTTTACAGGTAACCGCTTTATGTTTATCTTCATGAAGATTGGTTACTCTTGGACGCCCGGTCCGAAGACGGTCGTGATAATTGCCAGTGTCATTCAATCGGTTTATTGTCGAATGCACACCTTTCAATGATATTTTCAATTTTGGCAAGTTTTCGGTATGAGCATAGATAATATAAGAATGGATTTGCCACTCCTATATTAATATAACAAGGGCCGCGTTCTAAAATGCGGAATGAGAGACGGACTGCTTATAGCGCTCTCACTCGCACAGCAAATGGTTTCATCATTAATATTATAATTCACAATGATAACAGCTCAATCAACGTATTTGTATTTAAATTTTGTTTATCGAAACAATTTCAAGCATTTCAACAACGTATAATATTATTATTATCATATTTTCCACGAAATTATAAATGTAATAACTTGCTGTGGATAGGTATATATATATTAAATAAATAATATTGTGCGATTATACGCGACATAACGTGGTCTAATAACTAGTATTATAATAAGACTGCATAATAACTGAACACGTACAACTAACCTTACTTAACAGTTACAATGATACCACAAGAAAAATTAAAGATGATGTAAAAGAAAACCGTACCGGCGTTAAATTAACGAAACTTATCTATTTCAGACATAAGTAAATTCAATTGATTACCTACTATTATTAATTATTATACCAAATTTTCATAAACCAGAGTTGTGATTTATATATGTATTTTTTTTTTCTAATAGCGTATTATGTCGGTATATAATTATTAATTATAATTTATAATGTAATTTAATTGTTTTTGTTAAAATATTGTACATTTTAAAAGAATAGTTATATATGATCATAAAACATTAATTAAAGTTTACAATTTTACCGATAAGACGTACCCATAAAAATGTTCGTTCTCATGTGATACATTCTCATGGCCTATCCAGTATCTATTTTTATATCGCCTATAGGTATAAGTCGTCTTCATTTTATAACGCTAATACAGCTATCTTTTATTCAATAATAAGAATTTCTCGTAAGTTTTCCAACGATAATTTTATGTAAATACAGAAGAAGTATGCTTGTTCTTTGACACACGGCAGACGACTCTCGGTAATAAATAAACGCATACACAGGCCACTCGTCAGTGATTAAATTAAGTTAAAAACAATTACATTTATGATTAAGTGTTGGATGTACCAAACTATTTTTATACGCTTGATGGTCGCCGCACCTCACACCAATCCGAGTTCATCGAAATCACCACATTAACAAGTTTATTTTTCCGACAATATTATGTTGTACATTTTCTTTTATAATATGATAAGTCGTTTATTCTCCAAGATTATTCGCATTGTGCGTATTATTGATGAAAAAATTAAACTGACGTATTGTTATATAATACCCGTCTACTACGGAAGTTACATGAAGGATCAACAATTCAAAGTGAGTATTCATTATTTGAATGTAGGTACATAAGGTATGTATACAATTTTAATACTTTGGCACCTATTATCTAGATAGGTACCTATCATCATCTTAGTTGTACATTGAATATAAAAGTATGCATACATACTAACCTAACATAACACCGCTCAAAATCGTTTTTCGTTGGCAATGATTAATTGTTGCGTACATATAATATATGTATATTATACATTAATCTTCTCCTTAACCTTCCCTACTTTTTACCTACAACAGTGGTCCACCCACTTGTGAAGTATGTAAGTCTTTTTAATTCTGATTTCCAATAATTGAACAATTTGTAAAAAAAAAGCTTTATCTTTTTATTTTGTCTTGATTAAAACAATAAGTGCCTGTACTCTTCAATTCTTGTTCTTTTCTATTAGGTGAAAATATTTTAAAGTGCCCGTTTTACAAATTGTTGGACAGCATAACCCTTGTACTCTTAAACAAAACTGAGGTCATAAGTAAGGTAATTAATATACAATATGATTTTTAACTTTTCAGATCTACAATTAAATCTAAAGAAGGAATACAACAACCGAGTATACAAGAAATTGAAATAAAAAAAAGAAATAGATTTATAAAATGATTGTGATTTTGAAATTATATTAATTGACAACGAAAACCAAACACCACAGTAAGATTATTTTTTTTATTATTTTAATTTAATTATGGGATTTTAATATTCAAAAACAAATAAACTGTGTGAAATCAATGAAAATAGGGTAAATTATCAAGGCTCGCATTATTGTCAGTTGTGATTCGACTATACTAAAGCTATATTAAAAGTTCATATAAATTACTGTAAGAACAACAACTTTTTTACAAACTTTAACCCCTTTGAGGCATATGAAGTGGTTTACTTATCATACCTATAATTTACAAAAATTACTTTTACAATGTACCTAACAGACTTCCAAGCCCGCAAATTTAAATATTTGATACCTATTTTTAACACCTAAAACTAGATATACGGGTTATTTAAGTATACATACTTCTTAAATGACATTGGCCTCAAATTTTGTTGAGGGTATATTTTTTTTTATTTAAAGGCACAGGATTGGCGGGTGTCTCAGCCGAAATTTTGAAATCGCAAAATAAGAAACCACCCTAACATTTCAATATATTATATTTGTCATACAATAATGAGTCTACTTGTTTTTATTTATATCCGAATACTAGGTTAGCCTCACAGTTTTCTTTTACAACATTGTAATTATGCTCTACTAAGGTGGTTGGGAACTGCTAGAATAGACTATAGTTTAATAAAAAACAATTTTAAAATACACCAATACAACTAAATTAACATGAACAAATGTATAAATTATTCATCAAAAAACTTAAATGAACATTTTTCAATAAATCTTTCTGTAGGTTTTGTTATATTGCCAGTGGGAATATCCAAAATTAGGTTATAGTTTTTTTTTTTTTACATTTTGTTTGTTAAATTTTCAGTTACATGCACAACTTCGAAGAAGAAATAGAACAACCAGATATTCAAACAATTGAAGTGAAAAACGAATTTGATATCATAAATGGCTGTTTATTTACAAGTATATTAACTATTGAAAATGATCCTTTTGAATTAATTTCACATAAAACATCAAAGCTAAGAAAAAATAGTTGTACATACAACAACAGTCGTAATACATTCAATTCAAAATCGGATTTAACATGTCCGCTTTAAAAAAGGATAAGTTAATTCATACAAAAGAAAAGCTCTTCAAATGTGATGAGTGTAAAAAATCATTTAAGCAGAAGTCTCATTTGATATGTCATATGAGGGTTCATACAGGTGAAAAACCTTTTAAATGCAATGTGTGCTCATCATCATTTTCTCAATTGGCCTCTTTATTGAAGCATAAGCTAATTCATACGGGAGAAAAACCCTACAAATGTAATTACTGTAAAAAATCATTTAAGCAAAACAGTGATTTACAAACACACATAAGAACTCATACAGGTAAAAAACCTTTTAAATGCAATGTCTGCGAAGTAGTATTTTCTCAATTGACCTCATTAAATCGACATAAGCTAATCCATTCATGTGTGAAACCTTTTAAATGCAATATTTGTGAAAAATCTTTTACTCAATCGTATAGTTTAAAGCTGCATAAGTTGATTCACACAGGAGAAAAGTCCTACCAATGTGATGAGTGTAAAAAATTATTTAGGCAGAAGTTTCATTTGATAAGTCATATAAGGATTCATTCAGCTGTGAAACCTTTTAAATGCAATGTCTGTGAAGTATTATTTTCTCATTTGAGCTCTGTAAAGCGGCATAAGCTAATCCATACACGTGTAAAACCTTTTAAATGCAATATTTGTGAAAAATCTTTTACTCAATCGTATAGTTTAAAACTGCACAAGTTGATTCACACAGGAGAAAAGTCCTACAAATGTGATGAGTGTAAAAAATCATTTAGGCAGAAGAGATATTTGACTAAACACGTAAAAACTCATACTGGTGAAAAGCCTTTTACATGTAATGTTTGAAAAATCATTTACTCAATTGTTTAGTTTCAAGCAACATATGTTAATCCATACAAAATAGAAGCTTTAGAATTAATATAATTTATGTAAACAATTTATTGTTTGTTTTACACATAGGAATTTATCCTAAACATACACCCTGAATTGTTAAGAAAAATATTGTATACAAAGATAAAATTAATATTCTTACTGATTTGAATAAAGTTCCACACTTATGTTAACATTTTACACGCTATTAATTTAATCAATTATTTGTTTATCAAAACATTTGGTTCTAATAAATTTATTGACTTTATAGATGACAAATTGTTTGTCGAATTTCACTGTTTATTGTATTCAAATAATATTCGCTATAAATAGGCAGAATTTTATATTCAATTATCATATAAATAACAATAAACTTTGTATCGCATCTAAGGTTGAAAACTTTGGTGTTATTTTTTCTAGTGATGTTAAATTTACCAAACATATTAATGAAATCCATAATGATGCTATTTACATATTTAGGTTTTTGAAATGCAACTGCTGGCAGTTTCATAATCCAAATATCTTGCGTGTTTTATATTTCTCTCTTGTACAATCAATTTTGGAATATAGTTAGATAATCTGGTGTTATATACCTCGTTATATGTCTCTATAACGTTTAATAAAATAATTTTAACCATTATATGTATGTATTACTTCTGTACTCTTATGCCCATTGGTCAATAAATATAAATATTATGATTGATTAGCAACCATGTAACGGTGATGTTAAAGAAAACTCATGGATTATTGGCTGTTTATAAATTCTTACATTTTAGAAAAGAGCCTCAACAATTTTAATTTTTTTTTTATTTTAGATTGTGTATACATATTTTAATATGTATAATGTCTGTGATACATTGTATTTGATTATTTTTCTATGACAACTATTTTTAAAATTTGCATTTTTACTTGGCCATAATAAATTGTAGATTTACTATTACACTAACAGTTGAACTCGGCTCAGAATGGTTTTTTCGTTAGCAATAGTTTCTTTGCTTACAGATATTCATGAAATTCCCGTCTGTAGCCTACCTTTCCAACTTCCCATCTACAAAAGTGGCTGCACCCGCGTGCGAAGTATGTCCCTCCTTTTTTTTTTTTTTTTTGGACATTGAATACAATATTGACCGTACAGTGTACATGTGTATCATAATATTTCTATCTAAGTTCTTTTATGATATTATTAGGCTACGAGGCCTATCACTATAAGACAAACTCTGTTTCATTGCTCTTTGTTTTATGTTTCTTCACGGAAATATTCTATTCCTATATCATTATTCCGTCTTGCTAAAAAAAACATAAATATAAAAAGAATAAATTTACGGTGTTATGATTTGTTTATTTTAAATCTAAACGGTTTGTTTTAACCAGAAATATTGCTCCAATATAAAAACTACAAGACATTTTTGATGTTATTAATTTTCTTTATAGTTTTTTATTAGTTGAGCAAAACAAAAAAAAAAAAAAAGAACGGGAAAATTTACTTGTCATTTTACTCATTTACTAATCATTTTCAATATTGAATGAATATATTAACGAATATTTTTCGGATATTTTTTGACGGTTTTTAATAGGAAGCAAAGAAAAAAATTGTTTTAACCAAAACATATTATATTATAATATTTTAAATATTATAACACATTATATACCTTCAATGTATTGGTTATTTAATTTAATCATGGAAGTAGGTACCTTTTAACTTTAGAAAATACTTTTACATGCCAAACGTAAGATATCTCAGTCCGCAGTATTAATTTACATAAATAAAAGAAGTCATAATTTATGTACTTACGAGTGAAAAATCTTCTTATATCTATTATCCATCGTAAACAAAAAGGGAAATTTGATTCAAAACTTCATATAATGTGTTGCACAATTGATTAAAATTTTGATTTTTTTTATAATATACACAGAGTATACACAAGATGTTCCAACTTTTAAACTGGATAGGTTATTCCTACAATAAGCGCGAGAAAAACAAATTATTTTAAAATTTCGTCAAAATTGAATATATTTGTCAGCTATAAACATGGAGAGGCAATTACCCCTGCTCCCCCTTGGTTATGCCCTTATCCCCTATACTATTTTTTTCTGGACGTAACAATTTTACGGCATATTTGTAAAATTCATGGATTCGACTCAATCTATGTTTAGGAAAAAACCTAAACCATTAAAAAAAATGGTCTAAACGAAAAACGATATTTCTTATTTCGCGGTCAATTTGGTCTGCAACCAATTCAATAATATCTGCAAAACAGCGCCGTATAGTACTTACTTAACGATTCGCGTCTTTTGCAGAATGATCTCCGCGGACTTTTTATATGAATCTAAATTTCAAACGTGCCCATCTGCTTTCTCGATTACTGAAAAAAAAGAAAACAATTTCTAAGCCCAATCGATTGAGCAGATTTTCAATGGTTTAATATTTTTTTTTTTTTTTTTACCATTATTGTATTCGCGTCACTGCTGTTCTTTTCGTGCATTTTTCATCTTCCGATTGGTTTTTTCAATATGATTATCGAATCTTTTTGCAAACAAATTGAATTAAAACAGTCGATTTCATCAGCTCGCAGCTCTTGGTTTCTCTCTCTCTTCTCGAGAGGTCTCTCGCAATTTCCCCGGGGTGTTTTATTTTACATTTGTCCTGTTTTACTCTTTATTTCAAATCCATTTTACACGCGTTTTAAAACACTATGAGTACACCTACGTGGCTACGTCATCGAAACCGTTTTATTTATCCACAAATATACCAACACTCGTCGCAGTTGGTCGACTCGGATACGTAAATAAATAAATACAATTTCAATAATATGTAATATTTCCTATTTGTCACGACTGATTGCTATTTGTACAATTGTATTGCATTTGAATTAAATAAATACATATATATATATATATATATATATAACTTTTTTTTTATCTAAATAAATGTATTATTTATCTAGATGGATTTTTTGTATTTTGTTTTACCATTTATCTTTATCTAGACGAATTTTCATTGTATTAAAAATCAAACTTCAAGAAACGAAAAAAAAATACATTAGTTATAAAATAATTATATTGCCGCAAAAAATGTTTAATATACTTAACCACTTTCTAAATAATTACGGTTTTGTCAAGTAGCTACCATACCACTTACCTACCTACGACCTACCGAAGAGTCCCTGTAGTTGTTACGTATAATTTTCACGAATAACAATTATTTAACATTATAATAGTTGCAGGAAGTTGTCGAAAACAACGGCTCGTCTATGCATAACAATATGACCTACCTATACCTACCTACCTACCTAATCTGCACGCTGCAGTTGAGTATACTAGGTACCATCTGTTTCCGTTTATTTCTAATCGATAAAAGGGTTATGAACGTAGGAAACGTTCAGAGCACTTGCTGCGAACCCGGAAAGTGCTTTTCGAGAAAAACTATATACAAGTACCTATATATATATACACATAGGTAATTTTAAACGTGCATCACTCCATGACATACAAACATCGGCAACTTTGCTACGCTCGAAATTTCAATAATAATTATATTATACACACAAAATACACTTCAAACGACTCCACGTTCGTGTCTCACACTACCCGTCAACGGCACGCAGCAGCCATGAACTTCTTCCCGATTAGTTTTTGTCCAAGACGAAAACCTTTAAATTACCATAATACAAGTATTATACAGGTACTTAACTATTATGGGCAAAAAGACAAAAAACGAAATAATCGACCGAAAACACTCTTGATAATACCTATTATCATCGGTGCAAACGCCAAAGCTGTTAACTTTAGAAAAAAAAAATGTTATTATGAACACAATGTTATCGTAAAATTAAAATATAATATTTTACCTAGTACTTACATACTTTCCGGTCTCGTCATTTTTCGTTTTCGCGGAATCCGAGAGAAAAATATACTTACACGTACAACGTATCTGTACCTACATGTTGGAATATTTTTTCCGCTAATTTCCTTCTACGCTTTAATTTCCATAAAGTAAATTACTTACGGCTTCAGATTTTTTTCTCCCCATGGCATGTCCTAACCATGTTCTTCGTCTTATGAACTCACTCCTCATGCGCCGGTAGGTATTCATAAGCAATTTTTGATTGGTAGGTATGTATATTTTTCGGCAACGGTGATATGAAAACCTGAACAGCAGTCTTCTCGGCAGCAGGTAAACTTAGTTTCTCAAATTCGATTATTTTGCTCACGACACTTTGTATAACTTTTTACCAAATTTACAAGGATATATTCGTGGTACTTTGCACGTTCCTTGGACCACGATGTGCTCGAGATACGGCTGAAATTACTCGGTATCTTTCATGACCGGGATCGAGATCTCTTCATTTTTCTATTTTCCTCGTAAGTACCGCGACGTGGTTTTCGCAGTCGTTACATTTTTTCTAGCTTCTTCATAGAGATCGTGAAACTACTGTAACGTTCACTTTTTTTTCTTTCTAATAAAAACAAATTATGACAAACTTCTCATTATATTGTTAAGCATTTCTGCTAGGCCAAAACAATGTCATATACAAAGAACTAAATTGTAAAACTCTATAATGTTAAATGTCTTTAATTAGTTACCTAGCTTATAAGTCGTCAGAAGATAATTATTCTTGGACAAATTCATGTTTCTACAAAAAATAACATTGGAAATAGTAATAGGTACGGTTATTATTGTCGTAAATTTTCCACGTTACGATTTCTTTAATTATTAAGAAAATCAAAAAATAATTCTAAAAATTGTATATTAGGTATTACCATGACCGTAGGATACTTTTCTTTACACACTGCAATATTTTATGCACAAAAATTGATCTGTGCTTATACTATAATCGTTAAATTTCGAACTACGTGACAATAATATTGGAAGATATTTTCGTACAACCAACAGACGGTGATGATGACCCGAAAAAATCGACAAATCAAGAGCTTCTCATCGACAAGTTATTCTAACAAGGGATTGTATTTTATGTAAGTCAATTTTTACAGTTTCGATTTGGATCCAGGACTCGTAATATGTAATTATATAGTCAACTTACTATTTAGTAGGTAGGTATTTTATCAACTCACAAATACGTCGTGTTCGACCAAAAGACGGCCCCAGGACCACGATGTCTGGGAAATTAACTTTTAGAGCGGTTTAAAATCTTAAATGAATTTGTATATATTATATATTATGTTAGCGTTAGTTTATGAAATTGAGTAAATCTATAAAATAACTAATTATTTTATAGGATTACGGTCACTTTCAGTTAATGTAATGAATGAATACAAAAAATTACATACTTCAACTAGTAATTGTACATACTAAGTAGATATTTTATAAATTAACAATAACAATTTAGTTTATGCATATAAAATTATTATTACGTCCATACATAAAATATAAATATTCACTGTGAAAAAGTTTATTCTGATTTATACGCCAATTTATTAGAATTATTAAATTATTAAATAATTTACAAATTAAAAAAATATATATACATACTAATATTAAAGTACTATATTGATTATTTCATAAATTTTCATTTGATTTATTATTTAAATTTGTATAAGTGCCTAAAACTTTTAAATGTTCTATAATGTTTATATGTTCTGGTATATTTGAAGAAATTCCTACTCTTGAAGAACAACCAAACAAAGCTTCATAGGGAATTCGTCCGATCCCTCTATGGAAAAACGATTATATATTGAAAAAATGTTAACCCTTTTAACTTCATTACGTTGTATCCTTTATTATTATCCTTCATTCAGGTAATTATCATATTCTCTATATCTTGATTGGCATTAATCCTTAGGATTGACTGGGGCGAGGTTTACCATGAATAATAGTTAATTCAGACCAAATTTCTTTTAACAAATCTGTTGTTTAGTTTTGGAATTCATGACCGTTGTTACTTTGTTGTATGCTTGGAACACCAAATAGATTAAAAATACCTAAAAAGAGTAATACGCAACTTCTTCAGCCCATTTCGATTTTTAAGGGCTTAAATTACAAAATGTTATCAATTTATCTTGAAACACCAACTTAAATTTATAGTCACTATCAGCTTGATTTTTATAATCAACTAGCTAATCCGGCGAACTTCTAACCGCCTAACAGTCAACGAATGTAGTGATACCTTTTAGCTAAACTTAATTTATGATATTAACTAACGTAATAAAATAAATACAAAACATTTATTCATCAAATATATTAGGTTCATTAAGTAATATGTATAAAGGAAATAAAAATGTAATAAAACTATAAAAATCAAGTATTTTAATGGCGGGTCGGCAAGACATTTTTTTTTAATGAAGCTATGTATTTCGCTGCATGGGTTACACTCGCTTGGTTTGCCGACAAGTAAATATGCCAATTGTACAATTGATCATAAGAAAAATATGGATTTTCTAAATTCAGACCAAAAACACTCCACTATTGTCCTTGTGATTTGTTAATTGTCATGATGAATGCAAGACGAGTCGAAAATTGAATTCGTTTAAATTCAAAGGGCATATCGGTTGGGATCATCGGAATCTTTGGAATGAGAACTTTCCCACCTTTGAATTTTAGATACGTTTTAATCAAAGATACCCAACACATAGATTTTTTTTTCATTTTATCCGTGTTACTAAGGTAATCTGTAGAAATAAATCATAATAATAATACTAATTAAGAATAATACCTAAAAACCGAATTTTAGGGGATGGCTTTCAATAGGGTATGTATGGATATCAAGTTATAAACCTGTCCTGATGTCTTCTTTAATTTAAAAAAAAACTGCATGACGATTTAATAAGTAGTTTCAAATAATATGTATAACAAAGGTTTCCATTTTCGCTTTAATATCTTTCTAGATTAATATTTTGTTGTGATCTACAGCAATAGTGTAAATAATAATAATTATAATAGTTTTCTTTTTCACAGCAATCCTTTAATAAATAAAAATAATTAAGCAATTAGATATTCGTATCAAATATACCTTAAAACCCTTATAATTTTTTATGTAATCTTTCAGATATTTTAATAGTTATTCTGCTATTCGGGGCGTAGACGAATCTAACTAATCAGAAATTATCAAAATCAGTCCAGCCGTATTTGAATTATAAATGGTGTAACTAACCTGACTTTGTTTTATATATAGATAAGATCTAATTGGCTTATACTATTAATTCTGGAAAATATCATAGGATTTGTCAAGATACCTTTTTTTTTTCTCTTGGTTTATTTTTTTTTATTTTTTTTTTTTTACACAAAATGCACAAAAGTACTACAGTTCTAGTTATAAACAATGGCTTTAAATTTAATAAGTTAGCAAAAACCCAATTGGTATTGTATATATTAAGTATTAAAACCACGGAATTTATATATTAACTAGCATATTTGGGAATTGTATAGAATAACTAAATATTTAATAAAATAATGTGTTATATACATTACCGCTAACATATATACAAATAGGTATTCAGACAAAACATATTTTATTTAATTTCATAACAAAAAATTTAACCTAACATACAACTTATTTGCTTACACGACAACATTTGTAATCCTCAAATGAAATCACATTGAAAGCAATTAGGTACACAAATGTATAGTAATATGTACTGATCTAAAAATGTAACAATATATTTTTATTCATATTAAATCAGAAAAATGTTCATTTAGAGAACTTCAAAAACATCTTAGATAAGAGAAAACTCTGTATAGTTTATGAAGCTATTATTGAAAAAATGGAATCATTGGTTGAGGGTGAGGCTTTTAAAAATGTATTAAACAGACTAAAAAAAAAAAAAAATCAAAATTCTCTGTTAGGTTCTTAATAAAGATCTTTTAACATAAAGTCAAAATGTTGAATAATTTCTATATACTTACAGTTAAAAAACTTTGTTTGCAAAACTACTATAACTTATTTTAAAAATAATAAATTATTAACAAGAAATCGGGGACAAAAAATGCATCTATAGTAGTTGTTAGAATCAATTCTTTTGGGATAATAAAAATGATACGCATCCAACCTTTATTAAGTAGAAGTACATGCAATATTATATTTTAAGAAATAAAAGTTTATGTGATGACTTTTGGGCAGAACGAGTTATCAAAGGTAACATTAGAAAAATTGATTACATACAGATTTTACACTATTTCACACGGAATAAGCAAAATTCCTCAGTTTGAGAAGGAAAATTTTTAACTAGCTGTGAATATAAATGTTGAATAAGGCTGTCAATGTCATGTAATAACCTTTTGAAAGATTTAGAGCATTTGTACAGAGGAAATGTCAATCCAGGATTTTATAGAATTATTAAAAAAAGTAAACACTGTAAATGGGTTTAAAGTAATTGTACATGTATATATTTTAATAAACACCAGCAAATTAAGCAATGAATTCATAAGGTAGAGGAGCTAAGTTAATTGGATCCGTTCCTCTTACTATGTGTCCTGGGCGGGGTCCTTGAGGCTAAAAAAAATAATCATTTAAAATTAATACACAAACTAATAAAAGTTTTAAGTTTATATTTTGAATTAGTTCAAGAAAATATATATTTAGACAGGCCACAAAATCATAATACTAAATGCAATATACACAAATAATCAAGTAACAAACATTTATTAAATTATTTAAAAAAATTGTTTAACTTAACGACAACCTCAATGAGAAATGGGAATGATTGATTATAACAGATCGCTCAGGCATTTAATATAAATAATTGCTTGTACTTTTGAAATTTTTTAGAAATCTCAGGACAATAGTATTGGGTGACCATTAAACTACATTTAATTAATTATTAAAAAGTAATTGCATTGGGAAAATGTATAAAAGTACAATTTTTTTTTTAGTATTTTATGAGTTTTAAATTTTATCATACCAATTGAATATTTAAGCATAAAATAATAAAATAATTATTTTAAACTTACTTTCCGTTTAAGGCAAACTCGAACTCCCTTCCTTTTTGCTTCAATAACTTTAGCTTCGTTTTCTTTTACACGTTTCACAAAATCATCACGACATTTCGAAGGGTTGACGTGTTCAATACGAATGTTTATTCTAAAAGAAAGTACCGAAATAGTAATTATTAACAAAACATAAATAATATATTTATTAAATAAATAAATCCAAAATTCATATATTTTATAAACCATACATTTTTTCAACTCATAATAAAATAATTGTATAATTGATTTAAATATAAAATGTAGAGTAAAGAAAAAGTATAAATTTAGTAACATTATAGTTTTGATGATTCAATTTTACAATAAATGGATTTAATTAATAACAAAATTATTCAAATGAAGTTCAGCTGCATTTAGACAGTTAAATCTTCAGTTAAACGATAATTACATCAAATGGTATTTACTGTACTTATTAAGTTATAGTTCTAAAATTACTTAAAAAAATATACAGTATTATATCAATTCTAAATTTAAATTATTTGCGACAAAATATTAATACAATTTAAGTAAACAGATGATATTATATTCATGTTTCAGTATAATCTACAATATAACATAACAACACAACAAAACTATATTATTTAACATTTTTTATACATCAAGTTGTACCTTCAACATAACATTCAGTCTGGGATGATATAACATAATCATAATATTAATTACTAGAAATGTTGTAAATCTATAATAAAAAAGAAAATGTAGACTAACAAATATTCAGATTAAACTTTCAACATGATATTCAGTCTGGGGCAGTATAAAATCATCACAATTAGGTAAATACACTAAAAAGTATTTAACACACTTCCAACTATATAAATAATAGTTATTTTAAAACTAAAATAATATATCAGATAAAACCTTCAACAAGATATTCAGTCTGGGGCGGTATAAAATCATCATACAAATATTATCTACATTAACACATTAATAATTTGAAAAAAAGAAATAAATTTAAGTGAACTTCAATCATTCAGATAAAACCTTCAACATGATATTCAGCCTGGGGCGGTATAAAATCATCATAACTATGTATATACACTAAAAAGTATTTAACACACTTCCAAATTTATAAATAATAGTTACTTTAAAACTAAAATAATATATCAGATAAAACCTTCAACAAGATATTCAGTCTGGGGCGGTATAAAATCATCATAAAAATATTAACTACATAGGTACATTTATAATTAATTTGAAAGAAATAATTATTATTTTAAAACTACAATATCAGATTAAACCTTCAACATGACATTCAGTCTGGGGCGGTATAAAATCATCATACAAATATTATCTACATTAACACATTAATAATTTGAAAGAAATAAACTTTAGTAAATTTCAATCATTCAGATAAAACCTTCAACAAGATATTCAGTCTGGGGCAATATAAAATCATTAACTATATTGTTATAGTAAAAACTTATTTAAAAAAGTCAATTTAAATAAATAAATAAAATTATTTAAATAATAACTTTATAAATAACCAGATAGTTTTTTTTTATTTTACCTCTTTGCAATAATACGGTTGCGAACCCGCTTGTTAACAATTACTCCAAGAGCGTGTTTGGATACATTGAATACTCGTCCAGTTTTACCGTGATATACTTTGTAAGGCATACCCTTTTGTACTGCTCCATTTCCCTAAAAATATATTAGAAATTTAGTAAACAGAATATAATAATAATTATTGTAGGTACTTAGATATCATAAAGTACTTAAAAAAAATTTAGTATAGGTATACCTTGATATCAACTCTGTCGCCAACTTTATACACTTTCATGTACGTAGACAAAGGAATGATACCATGTCTGCGGAACTTTCGGGAGAACAAATCCCGAGTACCATGCCTGTAACCTTTTGAGTTAGTCATGTTTAAGTATTATCTGAAAATATAATAAAATTATTATTAAATATCAACTACATAAATTCTTAATTTAAAAAAACAAATTTAATTTGATTGAAATCTGTTTAGTTATATATATTACTACAGAAATGGGGCACACGTTTTTTATTTTTGTTCTTAATATCTGAATAAAACTTCAACACGATATTCAGTCTGGAATGATTTAATGTCATTATCACATTCATGTTATAAATACTACTTAACTTAGGATCGTTTAAATTTCATCATAAATCTATGTATGTTTAGTTAATGTTGTTACTTAAAACATTGAAATGAGAACACAATTTCTGATAATGTACCAATAAATTATACTCTAGGATATATTTAAAAGCCAGCAAAAAAAATAAATATAATTAATAATAAATTGAAAAGTGTAAGAATAATATTATGAACCCCACCAACTGCATAGTTGAGCATTGAATTAACCATACAAAATTTAACTTAATCAAGTTATTAATAATATAGTAATTTTAATTTAAACTAGGTGGATGTTTTGTTATTTTTACAAATTATTTAATTTCTAAACTATCAATAGTGTGCACCCAGTAAAACAAAATGTTTTAAGTTTAGAATATCTCGAAATTATTTAAACTATGTGATAAATCACTAAAACACTTAAAAATTAAAAAGAACAAAAACGTGAATACATTTAATTTAATAAAATATAATTATACTTACTTTATAATACAATTTAAAAAAAATGAATTCTCCAAAAACTCGGCACTAAAACGTGTACGTGAAAAGTAAAAGAACCAAAAACTAGAAATTGTCTTACAGGTTATGTTATGAATTTATTCATTTAAAATTATTTTCATGGAATAAAAAAAAAACAGAATTCTGTTTTCATCGATATTAAACATGGTTAAATTAATGTTATCTAGATGGTGGTACCTGGTAACTAGTCGAATATCAATGCATGATAATATTCTGATATGAAGATTAAAAATGATCACGAACTGTATATATATTCGTTTTGTCATGACTTAAGATCGTGATAATAATGTTAAAATTAGTGATGGGAATAATCGAATGATTTCGATAATCGAGATATTATCATAATCAAATGATTCACTCGATTATAATGATCGAAATATTGTACCTAATCGAATAGATTAAGATCGTTATCTAATCGATAAACATTTTGATTTTCATAATCGAGTGATTTATTCGNACCTTCAACAAGATATTCAGTCTGGGGCGGTATAAAATCATCATAACTAGGTATATTCACTACAAAGTATTAAACACATTTCTAACTGTATAATTATTATTTTAAAATTACAATAATACATCAGATAAAACCTTCAACAAGATATTCAGCCTGGGGCGGTATAAAATCATCATAACTATAGTGCTTTTCACAAAGAGTGGCCCTTGACGGTGGCGTGCCTTGTGGCGGTATTTCTACAAACTAGTGGTTCTCATAAATTTTTAATGTTATATTAATTAATTGTATTATTTGTATTAGCAGACAAATAAAAATTGTGATACTAAATTAGCTAAATTGTTCATAATTTGTATTATGAAATACTGCATTTAAATTACGGTATAAAAAATAATCATATATAAGATAATATACAAATAAGTTATTAATTTAAAGTTGCCATACATTTCCAACTTTATAAATAATTATTATTTTAAAAATAAAATATCAGATTAAACCTTCAACATGACATTCAGTCTGGGGCGGTATAAAATCATCATAAAAATATTAACTACATAGGTACATTTATAATGTATTTGAAATAAATAAATTTAAGTGAACTTCAATCATTCAGATAAAACCTTCAACAAGATATTCAGTCTGGGGCGGTATAAAATCATCATAACTGGGTATATACACTACAAAGTATTTAACACACTTCCAACTATATAAATAATAGTTATNTGGTACCTGGTAACTAGTCGAATATCAATGCATGATAATATTCTGATATGAAGATTAAAAATGATCACGAACTGTATATATATTCGTTTTGTCATGACTTAAGATCGTGATAATAATGTTAAAATTAGTGATGGGAATAATCGAATGATTTCGATAATCGAGATATTATCATAATCAAATGATTCACTCGATTATAATGATCGAAATATTGTACCTAATCGAATAGATTAAGATCGTTATCTAATCGATAAACATTTTGATTTTCATAATCGAGTGATTTATTCGATGTACCTAATCGAGTAGATAAGAATCACTCAATATATCGTGAAAATTCATACTATTTTAGATTCTGAGCAGTAACACTCATTATTCATTAAATCTACAACATTCTTGCTTTTTAAATTAGTTGTATTTTCGTAAAACTTTAATTCTTTTTTACAGATTTGACAATTAACTACACTTTTATCGGCATTTTTTTAAAAATGTATTTTGAATTTTTTACGATACGCGTTAATTTTGTATACGATGTTTTACAATACGCGGACGGTTTCAATAAATGAAACAAACGATACAATAAAATGTACCTACATAAGGGTCATTCAATTATTTATATAATAGTTAAATATTATATGGTATCAAAATTAGAATAGGAACAATAGCAAATTAGCAACTATCTATTTCATTTGATTCTAGAATCATCTAGAAATGATTATAATGATCTACTTAGCATTTGCGCATAATAGTAAACTATGGGTTATTTTATTTTGATTCATATTGTATATTATTATACTTTGCGCGAGATGAGAACGTCAATTTGCTGGCACGCCGCTGTTTTGAATGTTTCGATACACCGTCCGCGATAAGAAAAAAGTAATATAGGTAATATTAGTTATTAGTAGTCAATAAAATAGTAGAAAGAAATAAGAATGATTACTGATACTGTTTCGAGTAATCACCGACTACCAAATTACTAAACTAGTAAATATAAAAATAGTAACTACTAATTAGTAATTACTAATTTTTCATTCGATTATTTTTTTAATAATCGAATTACTCGATACTTTCAAATAATCTAGTTACTCGATTATTTTCTCTCGATTATTCCCATCACTAGTTAAAATTATCAAATGATTAAACTGGGTTTACTTTTATAATATTTTAAACTTGTTTTATACTGTTTATAGGTCTAATTTATATGTTTATCTTGCAAACATAATATTATACTCTATGCTTGCAAATGATAGTTGTATGATAATCCGACGCACGGTTCTTGTTCGAAAATAATAACCGTTTTCGGAAACCCGATCCGGTCGCATATTAACGTACTGCAGTGGCAGTACTGCACACTAAAAATATTGTCCTACGCGGTTTTCGCCTAACAAATCGGGGTTTATTTTCGATTTGTTTTCACCATTCACTTACAAAGCCATATTACAATTAAATATAGTACTATTTAATATTTAGTTTTAGAAATAATTACGTTTTCTGTACGTTATATATTATACATCCTTATCATTTTCGAACATCTGTGCCCATCCCATAATCATATTATTACATTATTGATTTAATCTATTCTGTGATTTGACTATGAAGTTTTCGGTAGTTTGCTGTAATTTTCTACTTGGTTATAACGTCAAAACAATTTGTTCTTAACTACTAACCAGGTTGCTCAAAACTGCGACTCCAAAATAGGCCTGTTATTAATTGATTTGCGGATTATTGTTTTTTTTTAACAAATATTTTTAGCGAAGTGAAATTTCAACTATTTATGTCATTAATTTTTAATATAATATCTAATTTTCTGGTAAGTTCACCCAAACGTGTCTGTTGGTTTTGATCCTCTAATCTAATAACATCAGAATCTGTTCCTACTCAATAATAATAACAGACCTAACATGGATAGCTACTATATACCATGCAACGAAGTAAAAGAGGAATATGAAAAATGTTTTAATTCTTGGTTTACCGAATGTTTTATGAAAGGAGATTACAATGACAAAAGATGCGCAAAACAGTTTGATGAATACCAAAAATGTCTTCGCGATGATTTGAAAGCACATAATGTTGATATCAATGAAGTTTTAAAGACTTATTCGGGAACAAATCGCATGAAAAAATAAAGTTATCCAATTACTTTGTTTATATCAATTTTTTTTTTGTATATAATATTAAATAAATTATAATACTGCACGTAGATAAATTTAGTAAATATATTTTGCTATTAATATTTTTAATTGTTGTATATTATATTATTTGTAGGATTAATTCATTAATTTTGTATTTTACAGTTGATTTTAAATTCAATAAGTTGGCAAATGTAATTTCTTATTTCTTTAATATTTTTATGCATATTAGTATATATTTTATATCATGAACAGATTTTTGTATAACCAGATGTTATGATTAAATAAATATTAATATTATATATTATTTTACATAATCCATTTTACCTAAATTTAAAGTTTTCTCATCTACAGATTTATTTTTAAATCATAATAATATTTACAAATTATAGTAATAAATATAAATTATAGAAAATAGTTATTAATGAATGAATTAAAACTAATTAATTTTTACCATTTTTTTTTCAATTTCATATCTTTATGATGTCCTTAATAAATTCCATAACTAAAATGAGTGTTGCATATAACTATTTAAGAGATTTTACTATCATATGAGTAAAAAATAATAATTTCATGCGACAAATATATCTGGTCCCAGGAAACAAGGGGCTAAGTCAATTTTGTATAGTTTTCAATACAAGCAAATATAATGTTAAAAATACATTGGTATATAAAATAATAAAAAATATACACTGATTCTCATAATACATACACTTAAACAATAACTTCTCTTAGACCAAAGATATATAATATACATCTGTGATCCAAACATAGATAACATATTATGTACATCTATGTATTAAATAAGTATATTATAAAACTATAATGAATCAAATTTTAAATGAAACTTTAAACCATTATAATATGATACTTATAAAAACAAAAATAATAATATACTACCACTTTTCAGAGCAAAGGTAAGTTAAACAAAACAACAGTTCTCGTTGAATTATTTTATTCATTTAATTTATTATAATCATTTATAATCGATACAATTTATTTCTAAATTGTTTGTTTGTGACTCTTGTATGCTTAATGTGGATCCATTTCTTAACGAGTCCATACTTTTCATCATCAGATTTGTATTACAGATTTTCCACGTATTTTCTGCTTGTGGGTCTTCTCGGAGAACAAATTGCTGTTCAAACATTCCAACTAGTCTTCCAATACCTTGATGGAGTGTACCACCAATATGGACTTTAATTAAACCATGCATTTCTTTTTTCCATTTAACTCCATCGCTCAAATTTGGTGAAAAAAAAAGTTGGTGTGCATTCTTAACACTTAATAAACACTGTAATAGAGACGACGAATCTTCACAGTTCTCATTAATTTCTTCATTACCACCGAGAATTTTTACTTTCAGTGTACAACTGTCGTAGAAATATCGACAGTCTAGTTGGTTTTTTCCTGGTACACCAAGATTGTTGAATAATTCATAGAAATTTTTTGCAAATACTTCAATAAATTCTTCTAGTTGTTCATGTAAAATATCTTTTTTAGATTTTTGAACAGATATCTAAAAAAAAAAAATCTATTATCTATTAGGTATTAATAAATTTAAGCAAAATTTTAGGGTATGAAAAAAAATGAATAGGTTCTTTGTATACATACAATTTATAATTAATTAAAAAGAAAAACAAATTTTTTTAATAAAAAAAAATTATTATTTAATTTTAGTGAAGTTAGATTCTATTTTTTTTTTATTTGTTAAATTTTTGTCAAATTTTGTGTCTGTTATAAATAAAATAGATTTTTGAAACATTTAACAGTTATTTACTGTAACATAAAATTTAAAGGAAAAAATATATAGGGATATGTTACTGTTACTGCACACATGGTTGGATATTTTTCAGACATTGTTACTAAAGTGTGAAAAGTGTAGACATATTGTCTACAAACTGCATTTTGCATTATGACCTATGTAGAAATAAATTTCCTTAGAACTAAACAATGTAATATCAGATGTTATTAAGATTATGAATGTTATTTGATATAAAGCGCTTAATAATTGATTATTTGAAGAACTTTGTGATGAAATGGCTTATCATGGGAAAAATACCAACCAGACTATCTATCCTACACAAAGGAATTAAATAATTTTTCCAGCAACAAAATAAACCAAAATTTCAATTATTTTTTTACTGTTATATAAACTAAACATATCTATTCAACCAATGTGTTAAGGTAGGGTTCACGATATGAAATAAAATGGATGCTTAAAAAATATATATATATATATATGTAGTGAAACCTCCATCAACAGACACCTCTAAATAGCTGACAATTTTTCAGGAACGGGAATATTTTTACCACTTTTATATAGGAAAACCTCTACATACCTGACCCTTTTATGGCAATTTTATTTCAAATCAAGGTCTTAAATCAGCTAAAGTAATTGATTTTTTTAATAAATGTAAATTTTATTTACATTTTCATTAATATTTTTACATACATAATAATAACATATTTTAAATAATAATATGGTACAATTAATATTTGTTATAAAATAATACAAATATACATATTACATTAAGGTGATCCATAGTTTTGAACTTTGAAAATTTCAATGGGCTAACCAATTATTTTGTTCTTTGGTGTGAAAAAAAAATTTTGGTAGAATTTGGTTTTGATAACTTCACGTGCCGCAAGGGAGTTGAAAATGATCAAATTGCTTAGTTTTATGGTTTTTTGAGTTTAAGTAAAAAAATACTAATTTGTCATAAAACTGTACATTAACATTTTGATAGATCTTTTAATTACCTAAAAACAATATTTTAAACATTTTTCGATAAAATCATTATTATCCAAGAAAAAAAATAAAACATGATTTATTTTGTTTATTCAGAGAACTGGGTTTTTACGGTTATTAAGTATATTTGATAAATATTTGGGAATCGGGTAGAACATTGTTAATACATTTTATACACAATTTAATTGCATACAAAATATGTTCTTAGAAAAAATTGCTTACGATCAACCATTTTGTACTTATTATAAAAAAAAAATATAGAAATCATCCAGAGAGAACAGAATTAAATAAAACGAAACATTATGTTACATAAATAAGTTATGAAATACAGATAGCCGTACAAATTACGTATTCTATTTTTATATTATAATTGCGATGATGATTGATGTTTATAATCTACAAAATTTCAAGAGATAAGAAATTAATGTACGTTCAACGATATTATTTACTTAATTTAAACCAGACTAGTTTTGTTGTTTATTATGCCGTAAATTATTGATTTAACTCCATACATTTCAAAATGAATCTCCGTGAAAATGTTTATTTAATTGGAGCAACATCTCATCAAATTGTTGGATCTAAATTACCTTCAAATAAACAAGTTTTATTTCATAACTTACGCGATGTTAAACTAAATTTACGTGATAGTACTCGTTTAGTCTTTGATGAATTATTAATAATTTGGCAAAAAGCGCAACAAGCAACAAAAGGAGTTCTGAATTGTGTTCCGAAATTAGAATCGTTGTTTGAAGAGTGGATAAAGTTGGAAAAAAGTGCATTCAAAAGAACCGAAGTTCAAATACAAAAAAAAAATGAATTTGTCAATAGGTTTGATGGCTCTTTTGATATTGCTCACTCAGATGCCTTAAATATAATAAAAATAGACGTAGACAAGCAGTTTTTAATTCATCAAAGACAAAAAGGTCGACCAGGATCTTTAATTGGGATCTATTTAACTACACATAAAAAAGAAATTAAATATAACAAACAAATGGAAGAATACCAGAAAAAGAAAAAAATGTAATCAATATGAACTTCAAGCACAATGTAAGTGATTTTAACTTTAACATTATTTTTATTAATTATCAACTGTAAAAATAAATGATATTTAAAACAAATTTTTAGTTGAAACTGTGGATGTGGAGTACCAGGACCCTGTCATCATGCTCGATGGATGGCCAAGGCAATTTATTGTCTTAAAATTTTCATTTTTCAAAAGCAATTTAATAAGACATTAACACAAGAAACCGTATGTCATACATCCGTGATACATGTATTTTTATTATTTCTATTTACATAAAAAGATGGTTTCGTTTGTACATTGCTACAGAAGCCCTGTATTAAAATCTTGTATTTATTCAGAGCCTCATTGAATATAAAGATATTGATGATAAAGTTTTAAATTGTTTATTAAAAAAGTTTATTCGCCATTTATGGTACTTAAGTTCAGAAGCAGCAGCTCTCACGTTTTTTGATTTAAACGTATAAATAGAAGCCAAAAGGAAAATGATATCTAGTCTTTTTGGCAAATATTTATTCTGTGAAATGTAATTATATTTATGATTTTATAAACATACATTCAAATAAATTATTCCAGAGATTTAATATAATAAAACGACCAATTTTTTAGATCAAGATCCTAAAGTATGGAATACAAATTTAAATTACCTAAAGGGATTAGAAATATTTAGCAATTTGAAAGTGGCGTTAAATTGATAAGTGACTTCAACACTGATAACAAAAGATGCGGATTAGAAACAATTTTTAATACAAACCGTATATGATTATCGTCGACGGTTTCCTGATGCTAAGTAAAAAACGCTAGGAAATAACTTGATCAATGTCTTGATTTATATCTTTAAATTCATTTTTTTAATTATGTATACAAAACAATAAATATTAGCTTCACGCGTACTTTTTTTTTTAAATTAAAATTTATTATATTCTGTTCTCGGGATGATTTCTATTTTTTTTTTCAACTTGATTTCCAATTGTTTATCAGATATACTTAAATAACCGTAAAAAAACAATTTTTCCGAATAAACAAAATAAATCATGTTTTCTTTTATTTTTTTTCTTTCTTGGATAATGATTTTATCAAAAACTATATAAAAGGTTGTTTATAGGCAATTAAAAGATCTATCAAAATGTTAATGAACAGTTTTACGATAAATGCAATAGTTTTTTACTTAAACTCAAACACCATAAAACTACACAATTTGGTCATTTTTCAACCCTTGCACGTGAAGGGGGTAAGTTATCAAAACCAAATTCTACCAAGATTTTTTTTTCATAAAAACCGCCAACAAAATGGCGGGAAAGCCCATTGAAAAACTTACAAAAAAAAAATCTATTAATATCTAAGAACCACCCTAATATTACATACATAAATGTACATAGTTATTAATTTATCAGAGTTATTTTCGAGAAATTTTTTTCCCTCTGAATAGTGGACATCTCTAAATAATAGACAAAATTACAGTGACTGAAAGGGTCTGGTATTTAGAGGTTTCACTGTACATATATATTATTGTAGCATTATCAATTTTAAAATTTCAAAATTATAGATTTAATATTTTAAAAGGATAATAACCACTGTCACTTCCACAGCATCAGTGAGTATGGTCTACTTAACCACTGCATGTACTTAAAGTGTGTATGAAATTCTATAATAATTAATGACTGATTCTAATATTGTTAACAGTTCATCAACACATTTAAAAATTAATTTTTTTCATATAATTAAATATTATAATTATATGCGACGATTGTTTGAATTGCTAATTGAGCATCCAAGAGCAGTATGATTGTTATCACTGGCTTCTGTAACTTCTCTTGAGTAAATTTGTATTTGTTTAAAAATAGGTAGAAAGGAAGACTAAGAGGTAGTAGGATGAGACTGAAAATGATATAAGAATATTTGGTGTATATGATGTCAGAAATCAAGTCAAATGGAAATTTAGAATGGCTATCTTCGAATAATTGAAATGAAGGAGAAGATTGTTAAATCCATAACAAAATAATTAGGTATGACAGCAATATCCCAGTTAATAGTATATCCCTCATAAACATAGCTGCCAGCTTTCACCGCTATACAATAACCAAATAACACGATACTGATATATAGACATAATATATTATGTATCTATGTATTAATATAATTACAATTGATAATAGACGAAAAACGTATGTTATTTTATGTGTATCACAAAGATACTGACATACCTATTTATTTTGTCACAGTTAAATCTGTTTGATAAAAAAATTATTTATGGATAAGTATAAATTTATTATTAGAAAACAAAAACAAAAGATTTACTCGGTTATCTTACTTGTTGATTAGAAAAACTAGGTTGAATAGGTTGAACAGGTGGATAGTAATGTTGCGTCATATTGTTATTTTGAGGAGATTCCATCATATTAATGGCTACAGGCATTTGCATGCTCTGAAAAGGTTGCATTTTTGGTTGTGGTGGTTGTATAGGCTTCACATAGTCCGGTTGATTTTCAATCAGTGTCTTGAATGCCAGAATCAAATCACTTTTTGAAGGATTAGGCAATGGTACTAAGCCTTTGGAAATTAAAAATTTCAAAAGATTAGTTATCGGGACCTTTTTACTTGATAATACTTGTGTGTACGGTTGAGACAATAGTAAAACTTCAGCATCTAAAACAAACACATAAAAATCATAATTAATTAATTATTTAATTATGATGGTGAACATAAATACAAATTGAAATATTGAATACACAGCCATCAGAAATTTATATAACTATATTTTTTTCAATTATAAAGATAAATATATTATTGATCTGTAGATTTTAGAAATTGAGCTCTGACCTTATAACATTCAATAATTATTACAATTCATTAATATGTTGAAATCAAATATATCCATACCTTCTTGGGTGTTCACCCTTATACCACCACCGTGATAGACAGATCTAACAAGTTCAAATAATTTTGTCGTTTCAAACCCGTCAAGGAATTCTTTTAACAACCGTTTTTCGCTGCTAGTGGACATTCTGAAAAAATAAATAATTGACTGTGTTGTTATCACAACAAATTATGGACAACAATTTAAATCCACGTTTAATTTGTGATAAATACCTGAATATTGCCAAAAGCCAGTTAAAATTTACCACTACTAATTACTGAATATCACCAAAAACCAAAGACACAGCTTTGAAACCGTGACTGGTTGTCGACAAAAGTGACTGAAAAATAAAAGTGAAAAAATGAGTAATTATCACAGATATATATTATATCTTATTTATTATAATCTGTGATAATTACTGATAGTAATTTATGATTATACATCTACCACGACTAGACGGAACATTCATTTCAAGGACTGGGAGGCGTGGTCGGTACGAACGGACTAAGAGAGATAGGCTGATATAAAGCCTATACGATGTGAGAGAGAAAAAATTTACACTCTGAGGACAGCCAATAAAATCACCTCCTTTATTATCTCATGTGTTTCTGTCCTTAAAATAAAACTCCACTCACTGGAACGCGTTTTCATGCTAAATGTTCCTTCTAGATCACGATTAAAGATTACTTGAATCTGTTCAGCTGTTATAATATAGACAGTCAATTTTTCAAAATTTGCTCGTTGAGCACTATCACGGCTACACTGATTGTCATCAATAAAAAAATTGATAATATATTCATATCAATCGGTTGATAAGAACACAAGTTTCGCTATAAACGCCGAAAACGTGATAGTTCAATTACCTGTTATAAAATAATAAATAATTTTAAACTTAACAATGGCCAGCAACCGTTTTACACCAACTGGTTTTCCTAGAGTTCCTCTTCAGAATGGTATCGGACGTTATATTTGTCAATTGAAAAGAGTTACATTACGGTTTTGTAAAAGCAGTGGATCTAGCCGGGGAATACGCGATTTCATTGAAACAGAACTAATAAATTTTGCACAGGAACACCCAGGTACCGCTGTATACTTAAAACCACGTCGTCACAAATCCCCTTCGTTTGTTGCTGAATACTTGAACGGGGAACGCGAAGTGATCAGTTGTCATAATTTCACCGCCCAACAAATGGTCAAGTGGTTGAATTTATACACCACCCGATCAGGTGTCCCGTTGATGAGATATGTGAAAATGTGGCATACAGAATGCCCTTCCATTCAAGGAGTGTGGAGCCCTTTTACAAATATGGATCCCAAATTAAACACCACACAGTTTCCGTCAGAGGAGCTTAACAAGCCCACATGGGAAGAAAAATCTGCTACAAAAAAATTATTGGAAATGGTAAAAAATACAAAAATCAATGACGTAAACGAAGATGATACACAAAGGATTGAAGCCACTCAAATGTAATTAAAAATCTTAGCTCAATTTATTCATTATAGTTAGTGTAAAATATTTTATTTACTTTATAGATTGATTATCTTTATTTTATAATTTTGGATCAAATTTATACAAATATGTTGTTAATAATAATTTATATTTGTATGAAATTTTAATCTATGTAGAATAAAGTGTTTAATTAATTTAACATTTTTTTTTCGCATTCAAAATTAAACCTTTATTAAATGACAAGGCATTTAAAGTATTATATAAGTACCTACTAAAACCATCAGTTTGTGTATGTACATTTATTTATATATTTTAAATTTATCTGTATTAAAATACAGTTACTATTCTTTAATATCTACATTATTCAAGTATTCAATGAAGACTTATGGCATATGCTACTATATATATATATATATATATAAAAAATACATTGAAAACAAAACAGTTGCAAATTCAAATTTTATAATTACTTTTATTATAATAATTAGCTATTGAAAATAATTGATATCTGTAGTAATAAATATTTTATTAAATATACCTATTCTGTGGTAATATGAGTTGTCCAGTTGATCCAATAATTTATTAGTTATTATCTAATGGTTACTTAAATAATTAAAAACATCATAAGGAAATATAAAAGGTAAATACAGCTGAATTGGCCAATTACTAATTTAGGTAGTATACTAAGTACCTATGTCCTACACTGAACAAAATGTTATGAAACTTGCAGTTGATTCTAAGTATTAAAAAGACGGACAAATTTTGCACGTAAGTGGGCCACTGTTGTAGGAGAGAAGTTGAAAAGGTAGTAGAAGGGAAATTGAATGTATATCTATATGTAAGTACACGATTAACCATTGCTTAATAAACAATGATTCTGAGCGTAGTATGATTGGTAGTGTTGCTTTGTCAACATGATGTCATATTATGGTAAAATAATTACATCCACATTACCTATATATTTTCTTTAATAATATTGTACCTATTTTCATATTTTCCCATTTATTAAGAAAACTCTTGGGGAAATCAAAAAATTACTTCCTTAAAGTACCATTCCAATCAGAATTTTTTTCAGAAAAAGTGCCATCATTGTAAATCTGAGCAAAATTGAAAAGTTATTCACAGGAAAAAAAATAAACATCATTGTAAAACCAATACATTCCTCGCTCCACTCAAAATATAAAATTAGTTTTATAGAAAGCCCTGATCTTTGCTATCTTTGTACATAAAATAACCCAAGTTTAAAATATGAATATTCACTACCCTGTATAATTTTTTTTGAAATAGATAATTTAAAACTAACAGATTAAAACAACTAATTTGAAATAGATGATTAATTAATAACAGGATTAATTATTAATTTTCAGATTTTGTTTAAAATTTGAAAGATATAATAGGTATAGTACCTATCCACTAAACGTTTTGTTACAATATATTCTCAAAACATACATGGGTAGGTAAGGTAACCTACTTAATAATTGTGTTATACGATCAATTACATCACAATGGATTCTATCTATATATTACCTTTTTTTATTTTTTTTTAATACAATTTACAATCTGTTACTAGCTAGAACAATAAGTAAAAGAGATGAATGAATTTATGACTTGAAAAAAGAAACGGGTAAAGAAGCCTTCCAGTAAAGACACTTTAACAGTTATAATATTTACAACAGTTACTTATTACCTAGGTATCTATCGATTATCTAAATCCAGTAGACATCAAGTTAAGAACAGACTTATGTTAAAATAAAAATGTTGTTTGGCTGTTGTATTTATCTTCTATTTGATAGAACGATTAAACATTTTAAAAAATCGGGGGAGATCACATACTTTCAGTGTCTCTCTGGTTATAGCATTAGTGTCTGCTTTTCAAAGAAAGTTCAGTTTGAAGTTTTTAAAATCCCCGTCCCAAAAAAAGTTAGTAATTTCGAGCTGTCACTGTATATTATACAATATAGGTTTATAATATCTTGTAATTAACTTGATAACTTATAAAATTGGTGCTCGGATTGGGGGAGACGGAGTAACTCAACTAATTTTTCGGAAGAGTAAGTGTACCTACTTGTATATCTATACTGTATAGGTTTGAAATGAGACGCAGTGGTGGGTACAAAGGGGAGACGCTTATAATATAATACATATATTTTTAATAAAATCTATACTCCTTTAAACAATCCCAGAATCCGTCACAGACGAGACCGTACATATATTTTATATTTTTATTAAAATTTGAAATTAAATCTTAAACTTTAACTAATTAAAACAATTTTTTTAATCACATAAAACCAAATAAAATACTAAAAATCTAGATAATTTTAAATGGCTATTACTTAAAAATTGCCAGAATAATTTGAAAATTGTTCTACATGTCTATAAATAAAGCTGTATATAAGAGACTAAGTATACCTACCTATTATATAGGTAAGTTATTCAGTGAAATTTCCGACTTCTAATATGGGGCCAAACAATTTTAGGGGTTCATAAACGTATTCAAAATATTGGTGTTTATACAGTACTACCAGTCAAGGCCAGGGGACATGACCCCCACTAGCTCCCTCTTAGTCTGGGCCTGCTAATGGGTGCTCCATTGTTGTAGGTGGGAAGTTAGAAATGTAGGATACATTAAGTTATTTAATTTATTTCTGTAACAAACGAAAAACGATTCTGAATGATTATAAATTCGTTTATACATGATTGAATGGCCATAATATTTACGATTTTCATCAAAATTTAAATTTTAAACCATTATAAAAAATTACTACAACTCGGGCTCCTTTTTTTTTTTTTTGGATCATTAATTATAACTTTTAATCTTCCATTACTTTTTAAGCAATTTTAATCGTTCAAATAAGTATATTCACATATTATCCACACACCAAATAAAAACTACGTAAAAAACTAACATAAAATGCGTATAAATAACTCGAAAATATTTTCAGAATATTTTGAACATTTTACGTCTAGAAAAGAAAGATATTGCTAAGTTGTCTTTCAAGAAAATGTGCATCAAAATCAAGTGCAATAGTATTGGAAGTATTATTAATATTACGGTTACGGGTATTTTCCGGACGACGAGATCGAGACGGACGACTCCTGCGTACAGATAAGATTGCGGCCAGCGGCGGCCGTTATTAGCTCGATCGGTACACCGATAACAACATCCACGTTATTGTTCCCCGTGCACCGTATCCGGGGAATAATATAATAATAACAATAATAACGATAATAACAACGATGGTGGTGTATGGTCATCGTGGAAATCAAATCGCGTGCGACCGCCGTCGTTTTTTCACTTTGCTTTTGAGCACCGCGCGTGTTGTTGTACCGCCTCGTAGTCACCGCGACCGCCATCATTTGTCTACGGCCGAAGCCGAGCCGCGACGATAAGGGGATCGCCTGACCCGCGGAGTACGTAAGTAATATCATAATCGTTTTAGACTTGTGCCGGAGATCCAGAGCCCCGGCAGTGCGGTGCGGTGCGGTATCCCCGCCGCTGTCGACAATTTCACATTTTTTTAAAATCCTATTTAAAAATTGACGAAAACAACGCCAGTCCGTAACGCGTTTTCCAGACGACGTCTCGAAAACGGAGCGACCGGAACCGGCGTTTTTCGGAATATCAAAACAAGTTGTACGGTTGTTTAGAGAAATCAAAAAAAAAAAAAAAACAAAAATTGGACATTTGTTCGGAGAATTGATATATCGTAAACGCGAACGCTTTCGGAATATTGTTGTCGTCCACGATTAACGTTTTACAACGGGTGTTTCGTCCATAAAAACGGATTTTTCGTTTGTTTTACGCGTTTTCGCTGTGTGAGTGATTGCTATTATTGTACGTCGAAAATATAGCCGTGGCAAGGGCGAGGAGACCGAGGCGTTGAGGCTCTAAACCTTGACAAATTTTTTTTTTTTCAACTAAAAATCCGAACGTAGAAATCGTATTTACTATGTATTATCTCTTTGACTGTTTTACTATGACGCGCGTTTTTAGATTCGGAATGTTACGAAAACTATATTGGTTTTATGTTTATTTTTATTTTTTTTTTTTCTATGTAAACACTTTCTATCAGAAAGCTTACTCCGGATCTAGACCCTTTTCTGAAAGGAAATTTTCTTGGGGAGATACTTTGGAGAGGTCATTTTTCGGTTTTCCCAGCAAATGTGAAAAACCGGGAAATCGGTACAACATTAAACAAATATTATTAAAGAAAATGTATAATGCCTATTTAATTATTTTACCGTAATTATGATATATATATATATATATATTGTTGACAAAGCATCACTATCAACTAAACTCCGCTCAGAACTGTTTTTAGTAAGCAATGGTTCATCGTTGCGTACAGATATATTCCAGATTACATATTTTCTTCAATAATGTTGGTTTTATTTGTACATTACGAGTTTTTCCCGGTTGTTTTTACATTTGTTGAGAATACTCCTGGGAAAATCAAAAAAGTGATCTCCTTATAGTACCTTCCCAGTCAGATTTCTTTTCAGAAAAATTACTATCATTGTAAATCGTAGCAAAATTTCCGGTAGAAAAGTCGTCCACAGAAAACCAAAATAAACATCTAACCATATTCGCTCCACTCAGAACGTAAAATATTAATAATAATTTTTCGTTCCATAACGTTCTTAGGACTTGGAAATCTAAACTATAAATTGGTATTACAGTGATATTGTATTGATTATGGGTTTATTCGGGGGATTTTTCCCAATAAAAGATAAGATAAGATAAGATAGATTAATTCAAATATTATACAAAGTTATATTATTAGATTTAGTGGCGACTCTACTCTACCTATATGTATGGCTGTGTAGTATCCATTTTGACGTCACATTACATTTTCGAAGTAGGTTTGCGGTGGTCACCGGCCGGTCTTCAGTTCGATATTCCACCGCGGCTGTCGGCGAGCGATGGTGGGGGCAAACTATTAAAATATCCGATAAGACATTTTTTTTTTTTTTTTTCTCGAAATTAGAACGCAAGAATTACGGGCAAACGATACTGTAATGGCCATACGATATTTTACGATTCAAAATACGGAGCCGTCTGTACGGTACTGCACGGGATATGGGAAGGGCGCCCGCGTGTACCCGCATAGCGTCGTCCACGACAAAAGAAATTGCATAACGTCGGCACCATTATCGTTGTTGTTCGGAGCATAATGCGCAATTCGGAATCGCATAACGCGATAATGTATAATACGCGGACGCGCCTCAAACTCGAAAATATCGTTTCTCCGCTCGTCGTACATGCGGCCTCCTTAGATAATCGTGGTTATTATTTTGATTGTAATGATATATTATTATTGGGACACCGCGTGGAGGTCATCGTTGTGCGTGTTCCGATTTACCCGGGATGTGACGCGAATCTGCAACACCCTGCCGGCGAAATCGCCCGATTCGCGAAAGTTACGTTACACATTTGTACTTTTCGCCGATTTCGCGCTGTCGATTCCAACATCACGGTGCATTTTCCCGTTATCAAACCTAAAGGTATATACATTGTCTATATTTGAACGTTGGTTGGTTTTTTTTTTTTTTTTGTTCTTCTCGAAATTTCGATATTCAAACGAGATACGATGTTTTCTAAACTGTGATATTTCACATGCACTTGACTCGCTTGAAAATTAAAATATCGGAACGAAACCAACGTACAAGTATAGGCGATGTTCGCAGGTCTAATATCAGGTAAATACGCTCTAATGTTAAAACCGACTGCACAAAACGAACGAAAAGCATAAATTTCACGTGATTTCACGAATAGAGCGATTTCGCCGGTGCGGCGTAACATAATATACATGTTACATATACGAGGGGATGGTTTTTTTTTTTTTTTTTATCACGAACCAGCAATTATCTCGAAGTTGATTTGATTTCTGTGTTTTCTAATCATTTCAATAAAGTGCATACATTCGATTTTCAAATAGGAACTTCCCCATTTTGAACAGAGAACATTTTCAGATTTGCCGTTTATGAGTCATAACGGTTTTATGGTTTAGACCGGAGGAGTAGGGACGGGTAATGAATTGTCCGTCTACAACGTGGCCCCACCTATCGCGCGACGCATATCGTCCGTCTTTTATCTGTCGTCACTATGTTACGTGATGTACCCGCCTACTTGATTTTGTTGTTTTTTTGTCGATATCGCGAAAAAACGAAATCGGTTTTACTCGTTCATCCCGACGGATGTGTATCGAAATTTTAACGAAATTTTAAATTTTGTAACGATGACGGGTCGCGCGATACCATTTACGGAGCCGATAACTGCACGTGTACGTGTACGTGTGGAAGTGTTATCAATTCGAAGCCCTAAAGTCTATTTTTTTTATTCATTATTGTTTTTTTTAAAACGAAATTGCGGAGTCTTTTTAGTTTATTACTCGTTGAATAGTATGCGTAACAAAAATGTTTTCAAGAAGAAAAAAAAACAACAATTTTCTTATAAAAAAAATCACTATTTTTCAAGTGATAAAATTACATAATTACATTTATTTGTTAATAATAAAAATATAATATATAGTCAACGCTTACACATGTATAATATTTTTGTTTTTATGGCCTTTGTCGAACACGATTTTCGAGTTTGTCGATTCATGTATACATTTTCCGATAAACACCGCGCGGGACAGTCTGACAACAGTTATACTATGATAAAATACTTTTTAATTATTAAATATTAATTATATAACGCGCGTTTACAATTTGTTACTAACATCATAAACGTTTCGGTTGTATTATTATAATATGATATTATCATGATAAATAACGTCGGTACGCGATGTGGTAATCGGCAGTGTCGTGCGTTTTCTAGATAAAAATGTTTCGGTATCTTTTCGTTTTAACTCGATAAAATAGATTCATAGTATGTTTTTATACGATTTTGATTTTAACTAAACAGCTTTCTGGTTATGCAGATTATCGAATTAATTTGACTTGTTTTTTTTTTTTCCGGTTTCGATTTTCGTTATTTGATGTTCGGTAATAACGCCCGGGTAAATTGTATATTACTTTATTAGTTAATAATTTTCCATTTCGTGTTTGAATGTTTTAATTTGGGCATTGAAATACCTATAAATAATTATACCTTGTTACCTACATAATTTGTTATCTTGTCTAGATCATTTTAAAATTATCTTTGCACAACACTGATCACTCGCCGCGGCGACGGTTAGTACGCGTAATAGGACGGCGATGACTGTTTGTACGCCGATCTGTTGGCCGATTTGTACAGTGGGGCGGACGGGTAAGCGGTTGCGGCCGTAGGGTAAATGTCGGCTGCGTCCGTCGCGTAAGCGTCCTGGTAAATGGCTGCCGGAGCCGGACGGTAAGCCGCGGACACAGCGGACTGCTTGTAGGCCGACTGCAGGGCGGCTGTCCTGTAACCCGGGACCTGGGCGGCGGTTGCAGTCCTGTACGCCGGGGACGGAGCTGGGACTGCTCGGTAGGCCGGGGCCGCGGTTTTCTTGTAGACCGGGGCCGCGGCAGCGTAGGCTCGGGGTGGAGCTGCGGCGGGTTGACCCTGCTTGGTTACGACAGCGTTGAACCCGTTATGCTCGTCGGCCGTGTAGTCCACCACGCGCGTGGTGCCGTCCGGCTCGACCACCGTGTACTGTCCCTTGACGTAGTCGCCGTCCCGCTCTTCGGTCTGGCTCTTGTAGTCGCCCGTGTACGCGTCCGATACGTCGTATGCGAAATTGTACTTAGCCGGGGTGGCGTAGTCGTCCGCCGCGTTGTCGTGGCCGTAGTTGTAGGCCGGCCGCGGCGCGCGATACTGGGAGCCCGACAGGCCCGCGTACACCGACACGGGGCTGCCCGTTGACGAACCGATGACCGTTAGCGATACGACGACGACCGCGGCGGCGGTCAGTGACTGCATCTGTAACAACGGGAAATAACACGAGCGCGTGTAATTACTTAAAATATTATGACATAGTATAAACATTGATAACCATTACATTTTAAAGGGAAAACGGGACTCACAATTGACCGGCGATGTGAACCTTTTCCCACTCGTTTTTACCATACTTCCGTGATTATTTAAATTTTTTTTAATTCAACAAGGCCACAACATACACCCGTAATACAGTTTCATCCTTAATATCACTTCTCAACGCTCACATTCCACCCACATTACTCGAATAAAGTTATAAATCATAATAACATGTTTGAAATTTTTTTCGCAAGTACCTATATATTAATGAGGAATGAATAATTAGATAAAAGGAGAATATTATTGTATGCTACACTATTGTATAATAGATGCGTGCCGGAAATACACAATAAATAATATATATTTAGTTCGTTACGCGCCGTCTAAAAATGTGGAGGGGAAGTGAGTATTGACACTGTGTCACGAATATATTCATATGGAAATCGTTCGGGTATAATGGAAATATCGTCGAGTGAAAATTAAATTAATCGTTTTTCGTTGCCGACAAAAAACAAAGAAACAACACGAAAACGTTTAGAATATTAATTTCCGATCTAGCAATTGAAATCCGACAAAAAAAAAAATAAACGATGACGTAATTGTACGGGAAGTGGGAAAGTAATCTCAGTGTAGTATTTGTATACATCTATAATCTATACCTATCGTTAAAGTGCGGAATAAGAAATCCGGTTAATATAAATATTGTATTATCACGACGCGAATAAACTTTTATTATAATATTCTATATTAATTGTACGCGTGAAATTAATTAATGAACACTCATAGCCCTGGTAGCGGTATTGAATAAGTTGAATATCAAAAACGCGCAGTGTAAAAATATTCTTCTATAAGGTTGGACTCATAAAAAAAAAGGACGAATTCATAACTAAATAATATCTTACGTTGAATTAGACTTAATCGTTTGCTTACTCCGTTTGTTCACGTACGTCTCATCTGTTCCTATCCGATTCGTCTAACTCATTTTTATCGCGGCCTACCGGAAGATTTCTCGGTGACCCGGTTCTTATAGAGTATTGATCCCGTGATAATAAAGGTCGTAATCGGTCTAATAATTATTTTCGTTTTCGGCTACAGGAACAGTGTTCCCGGTGTCAGTTTCACGATAAATAATTATCGAATCCACCTTATTACCGCTCGCTCGTCAACTATTCCAAACACTCCCGAACGTGTAGAACCCATGAAAATAGAAGAAAAACACGGGAGTTTATTTTTTCCCGTATACCTACGCTTCTTCGATTATCCCTCTCTAACAAAACCAGTGACGCTTGGACCGGACGAAAAATAAAGAAAAAAGGACACAAACGTAGAAAAAAAAAAAAAAAATGCAAATATACTTAAAGATTTAAATGTCTTTATTTAATAAATATGTTCAATATGTTCATAAAAAATAGATAATGTACTCCATTCTCCCACCCATAGATATCAGCAGAAAGGCATGACTCCCTTTTTATCTGTAGTATTTGTAGAAATGTTTTTGATTTTTAATGAAAATTAGTGAATCCTTTAAATTGTCGCCTCCTCGCCTCCGTTCAAGTGCAATCAAAATCCTATTTTTCTATAAAGGGCCGTATAACAAGCTAAATAACGTTGACAAATCGGCAGGTCCCTATATAGTCGAGTGTTAACGAAAAATGTACGCCTATTTGATAAATCGGTTGTCATTTACTGTATGTGGAATATTAGGAATACGGCGAGGGTCTATATTTCGCGTAAAACGGATTTTTTTTCTTGTTCGTTAATCGATGTCATTATGGTAATCGTTTAGTTACGACCACATATTCCGACGTGCTATTATATTGCATAATCGAATCGCCCGTTTTTTACTTGCGTTAATAGTCTAGGGTAATTATTAATGGGTAAATGTTATTCAATGGTTTCACGCCGAATTCCACATCCCGTACGAGTGTTTATAATGTTTATATTACCAGCCCTTTCCCGAAGAAACCGACATTTTGTATAGTGCGGTATTGATTCTGTTGACAATGTGAAAAAAATCAAATACGCCATTAAATTGATTAATTTTAAAACCGAATATTTATTTTTTTCAATTTCAAGTCGAAACACCTTATATCCCTGTCGTGTTCGTTATTGATGTGGTTGACAAGGATATTTTATTATACTATTCCGTGTTCGTAACATTATTATATTACTAATTTGAATATTAATTCGCACATTTACTATTGTATAAAATTATTATTAAGTATTAAGGTGCCTCTACTCATAATTTGTTTTCTATGTTTGTCTCGCGCCGTAATAAGGCCACAAATACACATTGCATTTCAACGATTACTGCTCTCTGGTGGAGTTAAGCGTAATAAAGTAGTCACTATTATCTAATATTTTCGTTTTTATCGTGAAGAAACCCTTGTCTCAATTTAACTTATTTTAATCTCTTGATTTTAACCAATAATTAATTATTAACCCATAAACGCCGAGAATTATTGAAGTTAAAACTTTATATTTTTTATACTACTTAAGATTAAAATACATTTTTTTTTTTTTTATTTAAAAAAAAATACGATTTTCGAGATTTAGTGTGGCACCGTAATGGGTACATTGAGCTATTGTGCAATATGTATGTTAATATAAATATATATGTAGGTATTAAATAAATATACATTTTTTTTAATAATTTGTTTACCAGTGGAACCACTTTTGGGGACGCTCAGCGTTTATTGGTTATTAACAAATGCAAATATCGAAAAACAGTAAATGCTCTAAACTCAATCAGAGAGTTACAATCGTTGAAGTGCGAAAATTTAATGCTATATTACGCGTGATACAGACAAAGAAAACAAATTGTGTGCAAAGACCCTTTAAATATACATTTATACTAGCCGATATTAAAAAATAGGCGCCAAAATATAATTTCTTTGAGAATTTTTAAAATTCACTGTCAACTATTCCAAATTAAGTTATTTAATTTATTTTGGTGTCTGCGCGTGTTAAAATATTATTCTATAAATAATTTCAAAATTGTATCTATAGACTATCGGTTATTGTTTAAAATACGTTTAGAAACCGGAAAATTTGCATTGGAGTGGGTTTTCCTTACTTGTTTTCCCAGATTCACATTAAAAATATTCAATATTTGGTTACATCACTTATATTATTTATGTTAAAAGAAACAGCGTCGATCTATCATTATTTTTCAACTGGAGCAAAATTTCTGGTAGAAAACATAAATTGCAAATATTAAATACAATAAAATCGGTAACTCCGAAAATATATACCGTTTTATACCTATAATTTTCTTTCGGGTTTTTACCAATTATTGTGAAAACCGCTTGAAAAATCAAAACAAAAAAAAATAATCTCCCTAGAGTATCAAGTAGATCAAATTGCCTATCAGAAAAGTTGCTCACAGAAAAAAAAAATACATAAACATCGTTGTAAAACCAATGTACGTTCCGGATCTACACTGTGGTGAGCGCGTGCATTAAAAAGTCACCCTGTATAGTATGATATAACGTAGCCGATTTCGACTTACCGAATATGCCATCGCGGTATTGTGTGACAGTACAATAATTGTGCGTCTAATGCCGTAGATTTCGATGCCGGGCGGGGAAACTTTCTCGGACCGCGTGACGGTTTTTCGCGGATGCGTGAAGTTTGTTTTCGACGGGCGTGCGAGCGAACTGAAAGCGAACGGTCGTCCGACGCGTGTTTATATTTATACCTACTTGACGGCCTATAAAAAGAAGGGAAAACCGGAGGACGCGCGGTCGCCTTGGGCTTTGGCCCCCCCGAGATAACGCGCCCGATAATTGGATTTCGCGTGGCCGTCGACCACCGGCTTTGCGAGAAACTTGTCAAAACCGTCGTGAGAATGGTCCTCATTACGTCGACTACAGCGCTATACGTTTCGTAAGCACACTACAAAAAAAAAAAAAAAAAAAAAATCGCAATAATTTTCATCTCCGGTCCTGGCTCGTGTAATATTCACTTGACCGACAAAATGTCTAATACATAATATGTGTTATTATTATTATACACCGTTACGTCCGAAACAAAACGTATAACTGCAGTTTCAGTATATGGAAAAAAAAATCGTTGTTTTAAAAAATACGGTGAAAAAACACGAACATTGCGGAGGAAACGGCATAAAACAATGCACAACCAAAGTTACATCGCGTCATTGGCGTACTTATATATAATAGGGAAATTAACGAGGGTTATCCTCTTGATAGGGGAATGCACGGACATGTTCTCAAACTTGAAAATTTAGATGACCGCTGAATCAGAAATTTAAGGCGATAGTTTCACATTTAAAAGTTGACAAAAATTAAAATTTCTTAGTTTTATTTTTTTTTTTTTTTTTTAAGAGGTATAGTTATTTCATCGTAAAATTGATTATATTTGTTATTATTTATCAAATAGTAAAAGAAATTGGTGAAATACATTTTCGAAAGTCGGAAAATTTGATATACTTTGTTGAGGACAATTTGTATAATCACACCTCTGCTTCGATTTTGGTTAGGGCCGGCTCTGTGCGGCGACAAGGACATTCGCTACACCTGCGAAATTATGAACAAATGTTAATGTTTATTTTTATATTAATTAATACTTAAATATATTACACCTTCCTATCCTCGGGTATGCCACTGATATGTGTCTACTGTCTACCGATACTTGCAATTTGTCTATTCTTATATCCATAGCAAAACCGTCTTGAAAAACTATCATCATCATTTATCAGTCATCACCAATGAGTTTTTGTATTTTCTTGATTCGCGAAAAATTGAAGAACTACTTAAAAAAATATAACGTACACTTATATGTAAAAACACGAACCATATTTTAAGTTTTAGGCGTTCAAAATGTAGAAAAGTGTTACATTTTTTTTTTTGTTTTATACTTTCAGGTTTTGTTTTTAGTCTATTGGATTGTCGATTACCACACTCCACAAATACTATGTATGTAAAAATCACTGGATTTTAATATTATGTTTCGATTTTGGCACAACTGACCATGCAACTAATTTAATCACTCAACGAGACAAATTTACTTATCTAACGACAAATGAGTGATTTTTAGTTGATTAAACGACTAATGACTTAGTTAGTCGACTAATTTTATATTAGTTGTTTGTGTAATTTGTAAGTCTTCTAATTATATCCGGTAGTTTGCGATAAACCTGAATAATAGTCGGTAGTTAATAGTAATAGTCGTTTCTGCCTATCGTAGCTGATACCCAAAAAATATTGTCACTACCGGTATAATTCAAGGTCATAACTGAAAATTCTTGATTTTCTTCTGTTTGGTATCTGTACAAATTGATATTTTTTCCAACTTTTTTCTGCAGAGTCGCCATCTACTTTCTTATATATTAATAAAAACTAATATTTGTCGTAAACGGCCGTCGTTATTTATTTATCCTAATATTATTAGATTTCAGGGTGCACAATTTGACTTTAATCGAATTATGATGGCTAATTTTTTATTTACAAATTCTTAGAGCCCGAAAAACAATTCTATTTAAAACATCTAAAAATGTCGTGCAATAAAACTTCGATCAGGACAATTATCATTTTATTTAATAAAGAGATACTAATCTCAAAAAAATTATACATGGGTATATATCAACCCTAGATAGATATAATTTTTTTTCATGGCGAAAAAAAATGATAATTATATATTTTCAACTTTTACATAGATTTCCCTAACAATTGCGGTCTATGAGTTATTATTTGTGTCTTTACCATATTGTATTGGCAAGTGCGAATATTATTATTATTATTATTATTATTATCATCAGAGAAATAAATCCACATTACATTCAACACGCGGACAATTTTGTCGACAAGTAATAAACGCCCGCGGTTCGTATACAGAACATTTTGTATACTATATTTTCTAATTTGAACGAGTAAAAATGAAAAATAAAAAAAAAAGACTGTTTTAGAAACGAAAATAGTTGCATAATACCGAAATAACGCCGAGTTACAATTTATCATTTTGATATCTACCTGTAATACTCTGCGGCAGCGGTTATTATTTGATATTTAGTATCAGTTATAATCGCATTAACGTAGTTTTTTCCGCTCTTCTTATCCGAATATTAGAAAAAAAAAAATTGTCTTATCCGCGTTATAATATTATACTTAAGTTTTATTACCGCACGCATTGCGGGCATTATTATTACGACGGCCAACGACACTGCGGCGGCGGCGGCAGCGTGTAGTAATAGGTAGCTAAAAAGTAAATATATAGTTTAAGCAAAAAAAAAACTAATAATAATAACAATGTCACATAACACAGCTAAAAAACGAGCATGACATAACATAATATTATTATTATAGTCGTCTAAATCACCGGCCGAATTTACAGTGACTTGGACTTAGCCCGATGGATGTAAGTAGTGTGTTTATTAGTACCTAAGTATACCTATACAAATGAACTGTATGTATCGTATTAACGGGAAAAAAAGTAGGTCTGTTACTATATTATTATAAATTAAAACCTATGTGACTCGAGACGAAAAAAATCACGTCAATGTTAAGTCTGCAGGTCCACGCAATGACGATAGTTACTATCGTGGAGTTACAACTATCGGGATATAGTATACTGTTTCACTGCGATAGATACAGTGGCGGACTACGCATTTTTTCGCCACGGGGAAGTGTTTTTTTTTTGGCGCCCCCCAATTCTTGAAGACGTATATAGTGTGGCGTTCTTCGGCAGCGATATTTGGACAGTTAAATTAGTTGAAACAAGGAAACCGCTGAAGGTTTTGGAGGTACAGAGATTGAGAAAAATGCCAAAAATATCGTGGACTGAAAGAGTTCTAAACGAAGAGATTTTAAACAGGGTGAAGGAAAAACGATTACTTTGGAAATCTATTATATTCAAAAGAGACAATAATATTTTGGATAGGACTTACACTCTAACACCTAGACACGCAAGTCTATTAAAAATAATAATTGTAGGATTTACATGGAAAGAGAAATCATGTTTTATCTGAATTAAATTTATGTAGGTATAAGATACTTATTTTTAGAAATCTTTATATTTAATCTTTAAATCTTAATATTTTAGTTCATTGAATATGGTTTCTCTGGTTTCTCCACAATTAAAAAATTTGCATCACTGAAGTTTATGACTGTTGCTTTATATTTAGCACATAATTGTTATCGAAATCCTTTTCTATTTATTTATTATGTTTATTATGAAATCGTGTTATATTATAGTATTGCAATATGTCTGTGATTAGTATATTGCAGGTTATCAGGTTATCAGAGTTCTTATTTGTTTAGAAAAACGATATTCATATTTTTTAGACAAAACACGAACTGATAAACCTCGTACCTAATACTTTTTATCTTAATCTTAGTTACTTTTTCGAATTTTTCATGTATAATCATTAAATTTAAATTTATTTATTTTTTGGAAATTACATTTTCAAATTTAAACTTGACTTATCATTTCTGTGTTAAAACAATACAAATTGAAATCGAAAGAAGAACGCTTGATTACTTTTTTAAACTACAAGAAAAGAAGTAAAATATTTTTATGTCAAAACTAAAGATGTGCGTAACAGAAAGCCATGCAAGTATTTTTAATTAATCGAGCGAACAATAATAATTGAGATTTTTAGACGCTTCATGTTCTCATTAATAATTATTATAGTAAAAATGAATATTGATGATACTACATTATTATTCTATCGAATTAATTTAAGTTGTACTTATTATTTTGTTATTGGTGGTAATTGAAGGAATTTAATTATAGAGTTTAATCTCGAAAAATATTTTTTGAGTATAAATTTAAAATCCGTTTCGGGTCTGATTAAAACAATTAATGATAGGTGTTATAGTATTGTGTACGAACATTTTAACGACTTCCTGTTTGTGTTTGTTCGTATGTTTGATGCAGAATTCCCATACGACAGACAAGTATTGAAAACCTCAAATGGGGTTAGAGGGGTTGTCGGACTACTGTTATGTGTGTCGTTCAACACCCCATCGTCGTCCCTCATCGCCCAATTTATAAATACGCAGTTCCACAATCGCTGTTTTTCTGTTCGCACGGCGATAGTTTACGATGCAGTAAAAACGTGCTCGGTTGCGAATCGCGCAATATCGGGACAGTACCCAACCGTAGTCGCGCGGGCCGAGCTTTATAGCGCGTTTCCGTCGTCAAAATTCGAATATTTTTCTCGCGCCTGTACGTGATAATATTTTTCGTGTGTTTCCCCCCTCCCGATAGTAAAAAAAAAAAAAAAAAAAAAAAAAACCCTTGGCCGGAATAATATACACGAGTGTACTCGTAAAAGTCGTATTGTTGTGCAAGCGCAGACCGTCGACGATTATCGTTATTATCGTTATTATTCACGAACATGCTTACGGTTTTATATTGTATTTATTTATTTTTTTTCCATCTCCGACGTCCACGTATATTGGTACGTACGGCACGCGCGTATCTGTAACGAGACGTAATGAAGCTCAACGGGTCGGGCGGGGGAACACCGCAGAACACGCGCGAGTTAGTACACATAATGTTGCCCAACTTTTTCCGACGTTTTCGACTCGTGACCCCCTCCCCCCTCCCCCGTGACTTCTCCGACGATAGCGAATATTATTATTTACATTTATATTATAATAATTACGATAATGACGCACAGCATCG